ATGTTTGTGTTATACTTGTGGATTATGGTCTTTTATGTTTGTGAGTAGTTTGTGGATTATGGTTGTTTGTACACAACCGATTTATTGCTTGTGAATTGTGACAGGTTTGGATTTGTAAAAAACTAAGTAAACCCTTGTTAAAAACAATCTGCAAGAAGTCGTAAGTTAGGGCTATAGAAGTCGCAACAAACAAGTAATGCCAAAAAATATTATGTAAATTTTATAATCGTATAAACCATAGACAAAAAAACCATCAGATCAGAAAACTTTCTGCGATGTGGTCCCCACCTCAGAAAAAAGTCAACATTTCAGCACAGTGGACCCCACAGATGGAAAAAACATCGAGTAACACAATTCTGACAAGTGGGCCCATGACATTTTTAAACATTCGAAAAACCTTTTATTTAATACTTAGTTGCATCCAATTTACTACTAATATATGACTCTATTACCACGTTGTTACGACTTCAGTTGGTCGTAAGTTTGAAAAAATTGTTTATTTGTCTAAAATTCGTCGAGGGATGAATGAGAAATATAAAAGTACGTGTAAATACATCATTAAATTGCACCCATTTAATATTTTAAGAACTTTTGAAATTTTGTACAAACATAATATGAAAGCAAGCCTATGTAGATATGAATGTGTAACTCTTACTTTGGAGAGAAAGTAATGAAATTTTCAAAATGTCATAAAATATGACCCCATAATGTCATGTGACCCCATAATGTCATGTTTTATCCTTAATTAGGATGTAATTATCACTACATGGATGTAATTATTACTACATTAACGAAACTCGTAATAATTTATGCAATTTTACCCACTTTCAAAAAGTATGTAACAATCGCAACAGAGTTACAAGCAAGTCGCAATTATCTGGTTTTGGTTTATAATAGGACAAAATCCAACGACCACATTGTCTACTTTTTGACTTTTTTTTGTGGGCCCCCGAAGACAGATTTTCACGGTTTTTAAAGAGTTTTCCATTGATTTTTCCCTCTTGCCAAACATACATATTACAAAAAGTGGCAATATAGTAGCGACAAAATAGTTCCAAAAAAGTCGTCCAGTTAAAAGATGAAATATATAAACATGGTTTACATTTCATCCCGTAACTGCACCCGGACTTCGTAGTCTTTAGTCTTCATCCTCTTTGAATGTGCTTCATTCTCCTCCTCCGAATCACCTACCTTCAATCTCGATTTTCTCTTCTTTATTCGTTTTTCCCCCGCACTCTTTATACGATTCGTCATCGGGCGTCCAACACGTCGGTCTCTTATAGCAGGAGGATCGACTTTCAACTCCGTTATATGATCAGGAATTTCCCAATGAGAAATATCAGAAATTGGGTACACACTATCAACATATGACAATTCCCATGTGGCCCTCGTATAGTACGATGAACAATACTCAAGTAACTTTTCTTTGTCACTGTGCTCATGCAAAGCTTTTATCGCATGAGAACAAGGATATTTATCAACATCCCACACTTTGCAATCGCAACTTTTCTTTCCAAGATCAATGAAATACGTTTTCCCATTGTCCTCCGTCACTTCGTATTCTTTCCAATTGCGGTTTATCTCTCGTATACTAAACGCTTTGGACGTTCTATACTGCCTATGTAACTCCTTATGAACTTCAGGCGTCAATTCCTGTGTACTTGAAAATGCACAGGCCCTGTGTTTACAACACCATTCAATTGTTTTGTCCACTATCACATCAAGCAAACCAAGCAAAGGTAATGTCCTCGCCTTCTTCAACACGGAATTAATCGATTTCGCGCCATTGGTTGTCAATAGATTATATCTTTCACCAGGGAAGTAACACCTTGCCCATTTAACAGGTTCAACACTCCTGTTCAAATATTCAGCAACCTTCGGAAACCTGCACAAAGAAAATTTCATAAACTCACTCAACCTATGAAACAGTTGTACTATAGTCGCAAATTAGTATTTATGTTGTCTAACCTTTCGCAGAAATCTTCCCACAGTTCTAAAAACTCTTTCTCGGTATAACACTCTGCACACTTGTAGAACATCCCAGCAACACTGTCTCCGTTTTTGTTTTTTTTCCCCCATACTCCTTTGTTGACTAACGTCTTGATATTTTGTGAAATGTGATACGCACAAAATGCATGTTTAGCTCTCCTATACACATCACGAATAGCATTTGCGATGCTTTGATGTCGATCCGAAATCAAAACCATATCATCGCTATCAGGAATCACTCCTGCCAATTTCCTCATAAACCAATTCCAAGATGCATAATTTTCTGTATGAACTATGCCCCAAGCTAGTGGATATAAATGTCGGTTACCGTCTTGAGCTGTTGCGACAATCAAGAAGCCTTTATATGACGTTTTTAGAGATGTTGCGTCTACGGCAATCACTTTACGCATTGCACACCACCCTTTGATGCAAGCACCCAAAGCAAGAAATGCATACTTAAAAGTTTGTCCATCTTCTTCAAATTGTATCTCCGTTATCGTACCCTCGTTTTTTTCCTTCAACATATGGAAATAACTCGAAAGCCTATTATAGTTTTCCACCGGATTCCCCCAAACAGCATTTTGAGCTTGTTTTCTTCCTCTCCATGCCGTTATGTAAGAAACCTTGCATTTATAAGCTTTGCTCACCAAAGACATCAACCTTTTCACTCTAGGAAGATCAACTTGTCCCGCAAAATGTCTTTTGAGATAAGCAACAACCATCTCTATTGTACCATTGTTTGTTTTCTCTTCTCTCTCTTGTGGTTGTAACAACGGTGTACATGTATGGACATTCACGTGCTTCATCACTCTAAAACACTCAGTTTTCTTTTTAACCACTGCTCGAACTTTCCACATACAACCTTGTCTTCGGAATCGACATCTTGCTTCCCATATCTGTGATTCGGACTTGTATACATAATATTCAAAACATGCATCATGTGAAGCTTTCATTACCTTCATCTTTAGCTCTTTCTTACTGTCAAATTCCTTTCCTACCGTAAAACCCAATCTGTCTTCAAACGAGAAACATTCGGTTCCACTTACACGTCTTCCACCATCATCTGCAACTTCAGTACCTAACTCTATTGCAACTTCAGTACCTAACTGTATTGTAACTGCATTCCCTAACTCCGTTGCAACTTCAGTAGCTACCTCTGTCGTGTTTTCAACTCTAGCATTGTCGGTCGTAACAACCACTTCATTCTCGTGTCGTATACGATCATGCAAAGTCTCTTGCTCAACCACATCATAATCAACACCCATTTCCACATCATTGTGTTCTCTTTCTTCCTCATCTTGTTCTCCTACCACAAAATCCACAACTAAACCATTACCATCAACAATCTCTCTTCCTTTTTCTCCATTCACATCAACCGCTAACTCAACTTCACAAACACACGTTTCTAGCTCAACTCCATCATCATCCTTTCGCTCTACGTATAACCATCCTCGCCGTCCATTAATTTTGCTAAATAGGAAAGATTTCACTCCCATGTCATCGACTATATATTCTGGACGGTTTCCATCCATTACAATTGGAACAAAACTCAGTTTCGTCTTTCCTAAATCAACGGTTAGCTGGGCACAGACAGTTCCGACAAGTTCCTCGTGTGTTACTTCACTTGCTTTGTTAAAAATGCATATTGTCTTCGAACAATCATCACTTCCCTTCCATTCAAACAATCCATCATCATTGTTTCCCCAAAAACCACCATACCGATACAAATACATGTATAACAATCTTCAAAACCATCCATAATCCTGTCAAATGAACCGAAATTTGTCATTTTCATCAACAACCCAAAAATTTTAGACATTTAAATGAAACCCTAGAACAGAATTTAAGGCAAAATAATAAACTAAAATGATTGGGTTTTACTCTCATTATATCTGTATAGGAGATTTAGTTTCGAAAGTACAAAAAAAACTGATCACAAGCTTGATTTAAAGCTCCGACAGAGCTTCAATGGCTGACGGAAATGCGCACGATCAGGATGATCACAGGGAGAGAGATGAGAGAGAAGCACATTTAATTTGTCTCAATATTTAATATTCACACGTTTTTAATATCAGATTTTCAAGCGAAAACACGTTTCATTTCTTTTTCAATCAAAACGAACCGTTTCATTAAATAGGTATTTAGGTCTTTTATCATAAAAAGTATGGTACAAACTGCAACGTTTTTTTAGGTATTTTTTGGTTGTGTACAGAAGAAATTCTTGTGACACATCTGGGCTATTTAAGTAATAATCCCGCACAAAAGATTCAAAAACCCAAGGTGCGAGACGCTAGCCGAAGGCATTTTCATATCAATACATATATATATATATATATATATATATATAGAATCATAGATTATATAGTTTAATTAGAATAGTATATGTTTATATATAAATAATTAATCTGGAAAAAGAAAAAGTTAATTCTTTAAATATAAAAACTATATATATATATACATAGAAAACCGTAATTATTTATATAACAATCTATATATTATTAATTAATAATAGAAAACTAAAATTTAATCAAATGAATTGAAAGTGAAATACTTTGATAATGTAACGTATGTTATAATTAGTATGAATTATAAAACTTACATAAAAATTATATTAATATATGTATATTTTATATTTTTTCTGCTTCTAACTTTTTTTATCTTATCTTTCTTTAAATTCATTGATTCTATCAAGCGCGGGAGCAGAGCGTGGATGATACGCGCTTCCGCTGTGAAGTGATGCCAAACGACGTCGGCTTAGAATACGAGGGCTTTACCCCAAATCTAACGGCCCATGGGCCTGCCCATTTTAAAATAGATTATTTCTCACTGTACACCAGTGTGTACACTTGTACACACACTATTTGTATTTGAAATGAAGGGTAATAATATGCTAAAATTAGTAGATGAAAGAAAAAGAGACATAATTAGGAGGAGGAAGAAAAAGAGAAACAATAAAAATAGGAGCCAATGGTTGTCCGAGTTCATCTCCTTCAAACCCCAACCATCTCTCGATTTTTTCTCATTTCATTCCCCATCCCCATTCCCTTCACAGAAAAGGGTATTCGATTCAGACTAATTAGCAAACCCTATAGAACCTCTCTTCTCTCTTGTCGGCCTTCAACTATTGAGAACCATGGTACGTTCTCTCCTCCGATTTTCCTTTTTTTATTATTATTATTTTCATGTTTGTAAAATCGATACAAATCTAATCATAATCCGTTCGTATCGTAGATATTTCGAATGTTTAGACGTTGTAGCATATTGCATGCATGCACGCATCGTATTCATATCCAAGACATGTTTTTTTATTAACGTGCTTTTGTGTTTCTGTTATACTTATCGTGTGTTTCTCTTTGTACTCACGTTTTTGGTCAATAACGCACAGACAATTTGTTTCGATATTTCAATAATTATAAGATTAGATTATCTTTTTCCGGATATATTTTTTCCATACAAAAAAAAATATATTGATTGATGGGAAAAAAAGGCGAACGCGGCGTCGGGGATGGCGGTGGAGGACGAGTGCAAGCTAAAGTTTCAGGAGCTAAAGGCGAAGAGGAACTACAGATACATAATATTCAGGATCGACGGCCAACAGGTCGTCGTCGAAAAACTCGGTAGCCCCGACGACACCTACGACGACTTTGCTGATTCTCTTCCCGTCAACGAGTGCCGTTACGCCGTCTACGACTTCGACTTCACCACCCCCGAGAACTGCCAGAAGAGCAAGATCTTCTTCATCGCCTGGTATATATATATATATGTGTGTGTTTGAATGTGTATATATATTGACACAGTTAATGAAACATATACATGTATATGGGATGGTGTATATACATATAGGTCGCCGGATTCATCGAGGGTGAGGATGAAGATGGTGTATGCAAGCTCAAAGGACAGGTTCAAGAGGGAACTAGATGGGATTCAGGTGGAGTTGCAGGCCACGGATCCTAGCGAGATGAGCATCGACATCATCAAGAGCCGAGCTCTCTAGATAGATGATCATCATCCATCATCCAACATCCATCATCCATCATCCATCATCCATCATCACCTTATATATCTTACCGCATTTCTGCATAAATACTGAAGAAACTATTTTTCCGTGTTGTGTAATTTTATTGGATTCGTTCTTTCTTCTTCTTCCTCCTCCACCCTTTTTTTGGTGTTTAAATTAAAATTTCCGGTGGCATTCTGGGTTTTGTATTGAAAACCATGTAGTTCGTGTCATGTATTACTTTTGCAACACAAATTACTCGATCAGACTTCCAAAAATATTTCACTTGTTATTGGGAATTGAATTTTGGAAAACAAATTTTCCATAAACCATATATATTTCTCACAGCCATCTCAAACAATTTCGAAACATCATAATATAATTTACGATATTAAATTATAAACTAAATTTTTTTAATTTAATTTAGTTTAATTTAATTGAACCAGACTCTAATACCATTTTGACACAAATAAATTTTGAAAATATTTTCTGCTATGTTTTCATTGATCAACCAGATCATTACTTAAATACAATGGAGTGAAAGAAAAAAAAACCCTAATAAACCCTAACCAAAATAAACTAATTTAACCAAATTAATATTTAACCATAGTTATATTATAGTAATTCTAATATAATTTAAAATATAAAATAAATAAATAAACTAAAAAGTAATTAACAAATCTATAAATTTGTCAATTTAATTTACTATATCACATTTCTAACTCTATCTCTATATATTGAATTAAAAATTAAACTTACAATTCAAATATAAAAATGTTGTTAATAACATGAAATAAAAATGAAAATAAATGATAATTTTTATATAAAATAATGAAAAAATATAAAACTTAAAAATAAATATTCAATATTTGAATAAAATTAATGTTTAGTGTCAAATTATATAAAGAAAAAATGATTATTAAAAATAAATTCAAATTCAAATATTATGATAACATTTTAAATTTTATTTTTAAAATAAAAAATTAAAAAATTAAAATGATATCTATTTGTGAAACAATCTTTAATAATAAATAAATTATATAAAAAAATAAAGTTATCAAACAAATAATTTAAAGAAAAATAAATGGTGTCCTCAAACAAAAATAAATGTGGTCTTCAAAGGAGGAGTCTTGTGTAATCTTTCCACTTGTACATTTTTTGAGACAACTCTGATATTTCTACCTAATAAGGATGGTTTACATACCTGTATACAAATATCCGTCAAGGGTAAAATCCTTAAAAAACTTCCAACTTACAAAAATATATATAAATAAACCTTCAACTGTCATTTAATCTTCAAACTTGTAACTTATCACTAAATAAAATCTCGAACATGCAAATTGTTACTCTAATAAACTTTTGACCGATTTGACCATAATATCAGGCGATCGAAAATTCACGTCTTGATGAATTATTGATGTCAACTTATACACATCAACAATTTTAATTTAAAAATATACATATCAGGTGACATCACCAATCTGTCAATACGTAGATTTCCGATCGTCTAAAATTATGGTCAAACCGATCAAAAATTTATTAGATCAATAATTTGCATGTTTAAAGTTTTATTCAATGACAAATTATAAGTTTGAAAAACTTCAACAAGTTACAAGGTATGATGATTAAATGATTAAATGATAGTTTTTCAAGTTAGATAGTTTATTTGTATATATTTTTAAAGGTTAGTTGAAAGTTTTTTTAGAGTTTTACCCTCGAATTAAATAGTATCACGAAAATATGATCACATTTTTTTAAAACAAACTTATTTATCGCGTTACTTTCGTTGTTTCAACTGGGTGTGACATACTTCGTAAGACTATCCAACTGCAAATTCATATGCGCTAGTGGCTTTTTTTTTTATTATTACAAGATAGGACTAAACAGCAGTTCATACTTCATTCCTCCAAGAAACCCGTACGTAGTAAGTTGTAACTACACGACAATCAAATCAAAGATTGCAACATTGTTCCAGAACCCACACAAGCAGAAAAGACACAAGACCCGTACATATTAAAAGATGAAACACCCAAATCTCAGTTCCCAGATTCTTGGAGCTTTCTTTCCTCGACATCACCTCCGATCGTTCCCGCCAGCCCGAACGGGGTCCCTACAAACTTAAAAACATTAGGTACTTGTCCTACAAAACACACAGCGTTTGAGGTTGTGTTTTCCAAGACGCAATATTTACTTTCGCGTTCTCAGTTCCTACCAAGAGTCGTCTCTGCGGACTTCGTCTTCGTCTCCTCCCAGTCTGTGACCGTTTCTGATCTCCTCTTCTCTCCACCCAAGTCAAGCTTCTCTGATATCACATCGGACAAAACCCTGTCTTCCTCTCCTGGCTTCAGCTTCTCCGCAAGGTATTCTCTCGCCGACACCCCCTTGTCTTGCCCTTTTCGAGCGTCGCCGTCGCCCGAAAGGGGCGTTTTCGTCATTACCCTAGTTCCCGTCTCTTTGACCTTTTCGTATATCGGAGTTAACTTCTCCGTTACGGTACTCGCCATCTTCTTGCCGTATTCCATGGCGGATCTTGGGGTTTCCTCCTCTTCCCTACCGGAGTAACCTAACTTCGAAGCTAGGGCATTTTTCGCCGCTGCAGCTTTGTCAGCTATAGCTAAAGTTGCCGAGACGATTTTCTCGGCATAGATGCTCTGCTTTGGCATGTCCTCATCATCCGCCGCCATAGCCTGAGTCGAAAAAACTTCCGTTTCTGTAGCAGTAGGATTCTCTAAAGGTTTTGGAGGAGACAATTCAGGTGAGAACTGATCATGGCTTCCTGTCGGCAAATCTTTCACTAGTTCATGTCCTAATTTCACATCAAGTTCATGTCTTTTAATCGGCAAATCTTTCCCCGCTTCATGCCCTGATTTCACATTGTGCTCGTCGCCTCTCATCGGCGATTCTCTCTCCGATCCATGCCCTGATATCACACTCATCTTACCCAGAGACTCGATGATGGATGTCACTTCAATTTCTTCACCATCTGAAAACACACGGTTAAATATCAACGAATTCGGGACAAAAAACTCGACATCTCGATGAAAATTTCATACTTTTTCCGGTGGGATCAGTGACTTTGGTCTGATAGTTCGAGACTACACCAGAAGAACCAAACCCTCCTCCAGGAGCAGTAGGATCTTCCTCTAACCCTTCAGGTATGTAAAGGTTGACCCTCCGTTGACCAAGAGGATCTTGTTCTTCAGGTAGAACAAACATTCTAATAACATCCTCTGTTCCGGACAGTAGAGGCACGGGCGTGTTATGCGGCGCCAGATGAGCCTCTCTGCTCTCTTTTCGGTCCGATATATCAGACACGGCCGTAGGATGAGCGAGTTCTCCAAAGCCATGAGAAGAATCTAAACCATGGATTGGTTCAGACTCTCTGACCGGTTCAATCGGTTTGGTCTGAACGGAGGAGACAACAGGAAAAACCCTTGTTCCCGGAGGAACAATCTCCTCCGGTGCCGGAATCTGAGATTTTCCCGGATGACTCAGAGATTCCGGTTGTCCCGTCACGCCACCTCTTAATGCGGCAGATTCATACACTGTTTGCAACACAACCGATCGGATGAAACAATTGTAAGGTACAAGGATAGAAAACCCGACCAAACCGAATCCAAATAAAACGGAACGACCAAACCAATTCATTTAATAATAAAATAACCCGAAATATAAACGTATACAAACTAAACCTGATATAAAAATTAAATCAATATAATTTTATTAAAGCCGTAAAAAATTAAACTCAAACTAAATCAAATTAAAAAAAATAACCAAAAAAATCGAAAATATAAAAAACCGAATCAAACCAAATAGGACAAATGATTAGTAAAGAGTAAAAGGAACATACTCTGTGCACCATCCGCTTCGGGTCGGGTGATGTCATCGTCGTCGTCACCATCGTCTTCTTGATGGTGACCATGTTTGGTAAGACTGTCCTTTATCTTCTTAGCTTTTTCCTTTGCTTTCTTCAACACTTTGGTTGTCCCCTTCTCATGGTGCTCTTCTTCCTCTGCAACCGATCGAGCACAGAGTTATACATACAAAAAAAAACTTTTTTTTTGGTAATTACGACCCGTTCACGTACCTGGATGGCGAATTTTAATGGGGGTCTCTATGTGATCAGGACGAGTCAACTGCGAATCCATATCCGAACCAAACAGCAAATCTTTTTCCGGGAAAATAAACCCAACTTCTTCTTCCTTGTTTTGTTTTTTCTTGGCAACCTTCTGTGAGGAAACCAGAGGCACTATTGTAAGGTTTTATAGTATGAGGACGGTACATGGCCGTGCTTTCTTGCGCCACGTCTTAGGCTCTTGTTGTTTACGTGGCTCTCTCCTGTTAATCTCTATCCGAGTAATGATGGGAACTTATATTACGAGATTATGCACAATATTGTCATTTTTATTTTCCAATTTTAGAAACATTTGATATTGGCGTGATGGATGATATAATTTTCTATTATCTGCCTCATCCATGGCACACCGACAAGATTCTCAAGGAGTTCAAATTGAGAACTACACACTGTACAGAATTAGTGCAAGCGCACTGTGTGACGTGTCTGAGAAGAAAAATGGCACGTTGTGCTTGTAGAGAGCTGGAAAACGACGTGATTGTGAGGTCTCTACTGGCCGAGGCTTCGTTCTCTTTCTTTGATCGACAAACATCGGTAAAAGCATTAAGGCGCCAATTTCAAATTCTTAGTCCCCTTCTTCCTCATCAGCTCCTCTCTGATGAACGATTGAGAAAGCCTGAACCTGCGAACCTACGATGCGAGCTCGGTTTCTCAACATCGATTACTTCTCTTGGGCATCGGAAACCCTAGCCTTCCTGAATCTACCGGTTGCTGACATTCTCCCATCGCAGTCGCATCCCTTCTCCGTCGAGGAAGATAAGCGTATCCTATTTGGTTCCGTTGAAGATTTTCATGTCCCGATCGGAAAGTTACCTATTGAAGCTGCTTTGTCCAAGTTCTTGTTCGATGTGGTTCCTGATCGCTTCGGTGTGGAGGAGTACGGAGATTTTGAGATCAATGACTCTCCGATCCGAGGTTGTGGCTATGGCGATACAAGGTCCCTTGGATTTGGAGCTTCTCACTTCCGGGAGGTGAGAATTTTAACATCGTTGAGTTTGTTTCTCGTGTTTCTCTGTTTGTTTTCCTTTTGCTTGATTGGTCGTGTCATGTTCTCTGATATGATATGAATAGCTTGTTCTCTGTTGGTCTTAATCTAACCATGTATTTGACTGTTTGCTGTCATGCTTGATTAGCTTTTGTCTGTAATTAGAAGTGACTGTGTACTTTTGTAAGTTCCCAAGTTGTCACCTGTATGAAGGAGGCTGGTGGTTCAACCTCTACCAATTACGTATTGTGAATTGTGATTCGCTCGCACATCCTATTTGAGGCGAACATTCAGCTAGATTGCTAGATCATGTGCATTAGGTGAATATCCAAATTCTTGCAGATTTCTAGGTCCATTTTTCTCCAATGATAATTTCTGATGCCTGTGGTGATTTCTATCTTCAGTTGGCAATTTCTAATGGTTGTGATGAGGCGTCTGTACAACAGTATAGTTGATTTGAATGCAGAAAAAAGAACTGAAATTCTTGATGAAAGTTCATTGAAATTTCCCCCCTCTACAAAAACTTCATTTAAAAAAGTTTCAAAAAAGTTTCAATCTCAAGCTATGGAGTTTTATACTCTAACTTGAGGTAGCATGAGGTAAAATGTTTACAGTAATTTCTATGATTTGATGTAATGCAGAATGATAATGGAGCTGCTGTTGAGCATAGAGATACACAAAGTTCTAAAATCATCCAGTTCGAGACTCAGGAATTGGATTTTGAAATGGTACTTCTTAATTGTTGTAAACATGGGCTATCGAAATAGTTTGACCTTTAACTTCTTTACCTTATGACATAAATTTTCTATTTAATAATATACAGGAAAACATGCTCTTGTCCAAGATGGAGGAACTACAATTTTTCTTGGAAGTTCTAGAGGTCGATACTGAGCCGGTAAACCCCCACGTTAGAGTTAAAGAACTTGCAGTCCTCGATTTAAGTCAAAGCTTAGAGTTCTCACATGCAATACTCATTTTTTTCTTTTTGTAAGATGGTAGACAAGGATGTGCCGCTCTTCTTAGAGCTAAGTAAAGAGCCTTCCTGTCCACCTTTTAGATAGAAAATGTCTTTTGACTTCAAAGGGCTAAGTTTACGGATGGTCTATCAAAGAGGCAATCTAAAAGTTTATAATTCAAATTTCTTGACTTCGTAGTGGTGATTCTGGATTTTCATGTCCAGTCATATTGACTTTATTGTTGCCTATTTGTTGCAGGATAACTTTGGCAAGTCAGATGTTACCCTGCAGAACAGATATGAGATTCAACAAAAGATCTATCTTGTTGACTATATTTCTTCAAATTACTTCACAGAACCAAATACCTTGTTAACAGACGAGGAGTGTTTTCTCAAGAATAAAAAACGCTCCGGAGATGACAGGTTTCCTCTTCTAGAAGTGGATGAATTAGGTTTGAGCATACTGTCAACCTTGCCTATTGAGAATGAACGATTTACTGTTCTTGAAACGATTGAATCTCAAAAGGGGAAAGCGGATTTTCTCCTTATTGATGCTAAGGACCTTATGCCTTCTGTGGAAAATGATCTACTAGAGATCCTTTCCAATGATTACCACTCAAACCAGAGTCTTCAGTCTGAAGGGGAAGCCTTGGGTACATTTGCTGAAATAAATATCTTAACTATCCTGGAAACACCACAAGCTGAGGGAATCTTTCAACTTGATCAGGGAAAGCTGTGTTTTGATAATGACTTTACCAAGATTTTGCTAATTTTTGAGGAAATTCAGATCTTAAATATCGAGATATCTGATGTTTTTGATGCCTTCATTTGTCTTCAGAGAGCCATTGAACCAGAATCATGCTACTCCATGTTCAGGGAAGAGATGAACTTTAAGAATTTCACTGAATTGGTTGTCAGTCCTGAACTTGCCTTCACAGATGGCATCTTTAAGTCGTTGCCTACTCCAGTTTTGTGTGACCATGAAAAGACAAGATCACTGGATCTCATTTTTGAGGATGTTTTGTCAAAGCTAAAGCACCAACCTTTGCCCGCATCTAATGACATATACTTGGACTGGCATCTTTTGGAGGAAAATATACACAGCCGCGAAGTACCATTGTGTGGTTACGCTTGTGATGAAATAGTTTCGTGCAGTATTGAATTTGATTGGGAATTTTCAGAAGGAGACAAATGGGTTTTTGACTTTGTTTTCTCTGATACGGCTTTTACCGAGCCTTGTGAAGAAAGATGCAAAGAACCTCTTAATACTAATTCTGCACTTGATGATCATACTTTTGTTCCTACCTCAGGAGAGTTATTGGACGACTCTTGTCCAAAACTAGGAACTGGGAAATATGGAAGGGATGGTGACGCTGAGAAGGCTACATTATTGTTCAAGTCAATGTCAGCCTTTGATGACTTAGCTTTTTTCATGAATCCTCAGAAAGCTGTGATTGAAGAGAATGTTGGCTCTAGACTGGAAGCTTCCAGGACTGAAAACCATCCAATTATTTCCAGTGATTCAAACGCTTCATGCACATCTGGTGGAATGCACCTGAAGACAGAGAATGTCATTTTCCACAGAGTCGGCTTGTCAGATAATATTGTTGCCCTTGCCCGGGATTTTGAGAAGAGCTATTTAGCTCTTTTGAAGGATGAAGAGGAGTTAATTTCAGCTTTATCAGCAGATAGACATCAGTTGCTCAGTATTTCAAAAGGAAAGCTGATGGACTGCATAAGGAAGGCAAATATCTCGAAAACATGTTCAGGGGGAGATGTTAAGACTTTCATGTTTGCATTACTACTGGCAATTAAACAAATGACATGGTATATGTGTTTCTTTGGCATCCATGTGGCTCACCTGTATCTTAACAAGTTATGTCGGAGCTCAAATCCCATGAAGTTAGGATTGCACGCGCTCTACTCATCAATTGAAAGAGCTCGAATGTTAGTTGACATCGACATCACAAGATCACATCCATCACTAGCTCTAATCCAGGGAATTTTGCAGTCAACATTTGCTCAGACTAATTCCAAAGCATTAATTTTGGCTGATCAAATCTTTTGGTCCTCATTGAAGAGGCTGTTGATGTCTATGGGGTTATCTTACAATGTTCTCAACAGTCCCTCATCTACAGTCGCAAATCAAGCAGATGAGAATCAAGCCACAGAGTTTAAGATGTCAGAAATTGGTTCCCTGCTGAGTTCAGATTGTCTAATTGTTGCACACAAGTAAGTATATTTTTTCTCCAATGGTATCCTTATCAAAGCTTCCTTATTTTATTGCTGAAATCTGGAAATGAAACCTAATAATTGGTGGACAGTGTCCTAGAGTTGCCAAAATTATCAATTGTAAGTTTGAGAACGATGTGGAGTATCCCTGGACGTAGTCTGATCTGTAAGTTGCATTGTTTCACATGCCTAAAAGACAGTAGACAGTAGACAGTAACATCTGCTTGTGTAATTGCTCTCTTTTCTTTTTCCTTTTGGGTCTTTATGCGCTGAAAACCATGAGCTCTATATATTTGCTGTTCATCATGTCTCAGTCTCTGTTAGTTTCTTGAGGAGCAGTTAAACTAACTAGTTCTTTCTTTCTTATTCAAGGCAAGTTTCCCCCACTTTGCAATTTGAAAGTTTCAGCATCGTTGTAGAATATGGAGGTTCATATGCCTCAGCCAGAATTTTCTCTGATTTCCCAAAGTTGCCTCCCTTTCCTTGTTTCCATTTCATAAAAGTGGAACTGGATATGTCCAGTGCATGTGAACAGCTTTGTGAAGGTGTCGCAATACCTCATAATCCTAATGTGACCAAGGTGAGCATCGTGCAATCCTTGGTTTTCCCACTATGGAAATTCATGTATGGATTCTAGTATGTATGACGAAAAAAGTCGATGTTTCAAGGATTCTAACCAAGAACTGTGGTATTGTAAAATGTTTTCATGAGCCTTACATTTCGCTTTTTGGCAAATCTCTATGTTTTGTAATCTTGAATGGTTTGTGGAACCAACAGAACTTGAGTTTTTTAATTCAAGCAAGTACATGAACTTAAAATTGTTTGTCTCTTCGTTGTTATTTATGATGTTCCATAGTTTTGCATAGCAGTGTTCTTATAATTATTTGCATGGATGTATATATTCCGTGTATGGTTATTTACGACCATTTTTACATGGCTATCGTAGGTAGATGATCCTGTGACAAGCACTGGATGGTTGGAAGAACTGTTGAATTTTGTTCCACTTGATGATGTATGTTCTGTAGGATCATCAGAAGCGACAGATGAATTTAAACTTTTCTCCATGCCTCAACAATCTGGAGGCAAAAGTGGTCTCATTCAAGAGGAAACTGTCTCTGGCTTGAGAGCTGTGGTTGTTGTGAATACAAGAAATGCTGACAAGGAAATGATAGTATCCAGAAGAAGTACATACCAAAAGATTTTGGCAATGGAGAAAGAAGGAGTGCAAGTTGTGGAGCGCGATTCAGATATACCTGTGGATCTAATGCTCAGTTCTGCAGTTTGCTTACTCTGGTATGATTGTGAAAATATCAGCACGAGATCTGCGGCAGCTGGTCGTGCTTCCTCAAGCTCACTTTCGTGGATTGGGGATATCGCAACCAATGTTTTGACATTGTTGAGTTTTACTTTCAGCTGCTGCATTATGGTAATTACTTGTCCTTCTCTGGCATTGCTTGGCACTGAACTTTGTTTCCTGCCTTAATTTGTGAAATTTCTTTATGTACAATAATTTTTGGCATGTTAGGAGCCCTACTGTAAAACCATAGAGACACTGGCTTAGTGAAACGACAAGGCCTACTACCTAATCAGATGCTAGCCTGCTAGGTCTTTGCTACAGATTACAGTTCCCTCTGAATTGGAAAGTGAGATTCCACATCAATTCCTTGAGCATGATGTTTAATTTCCTACAGGTTTTTGAGGGGGAAACCGGCTACCTGACCACAATAATGGAATCATCTGATGAGCTCTATGCAGCAGCAGCTAGCCTGGGAATCAATTTGCAGATCTTTTGTTCATCGTCAACTGATTTAACAGATGAAATTATACTGAGGTGCATCACATATCCTTTCGAGTTGACCCAAGTCCAGGCAAAGATGCTCGAGTCAGAATCTCTTGCAGAATCATTTCTCACCAAATTTCCTTCGGTTAATCCACTGACTTCTCATGCGATTCTGTCATCTGGTAGCCCACTAATTGAGTTCATGAAGCTTCCACGTGACAGCAAGGTTCAAAGGATGAAAGAGTGTAATGTTTCAGAGGAGAGTGTTGATCTGTTTACTGCTCTTTGCAGATATGGTGCGAGGGAGGATTCCAAATCTGTTATGACAGAAAGCTCCTCTTCCATATCTTCTGGAGCAGACTCAGACACATACCGTTTTAGTGTTCTCTCTGCATCGAAAAAGCAGCAGTATACTGATGCTGCTAAGAAAGTTGACAGTGATGCGGACGAGCTAGTTCACTTTGATTCCTCAACTAAACTAGCTGATGCACACATGAATCCTTCTGGAGTGATTGAACTTGATTATTCATGGCCATCTGGAGATCCTGAGATACTCCATTTTGAGCCCTTGACTGAATTATCTGATGCACACCTCAAGCATGATTCTTGGCTAACTAGAGATTCTGGTATATTTGACTACCACCCAGAACCTGGTTCGTCACTAAAGGGCACGTTTTGGCAAAAGGATCTAGAAGGTTTTGATGTAGGTAACAATGTTCCTGGGGTTTCTGCGGCAGAAAATTGGAGTTTGCCCTTAAGAGATGATGATTTCATGAACCAGAACCGAGGATGTAAGTATTCAGAAGCAGAAAAACCGACATCGCATGAGATTGGGAACTCAGGGAGTTTCATTGCAGACAACAGAGGTGAAGTTATTAATGCAGATAATGAATTTCTGGGTGAAGATTTTTTGCCTTCTACGAGTTTTAGGCACTTTCCCTCTTCAGGTTCTGATGCAGCCAAAGACATTCCAAGAAAGCCAAAAACTGCGAGGTTGAGATCAACCATGGCTGAGATCAACTTTAGTTCTCATAGATTGACCGCTGACAACGATCCAAGAGAATTTTCCCATATAAATGATAAACATGCTGCTTTGCATGACAATGATGATAATTTTCCGTCAAAACGCCAGAAGATCCTTTTGGAGCAGGTCTTAACGCAGAGATCTGTGGGGTCTACAGAGCTGCCGTTTAGAGAAGAGATATCACATTGTGGTAAAACTCCGCTATCAAATGCAATTCATTCGTCCAATCAACAAGGTTCACCCTGGACAATTGAGTTTCTTAACAGAATCCGAGAAAGAAGTCAAGCACGACAAAAAGCTCGTCCCGCATTTGTTATTACTACTTTGGAATCTCCAAGAAACACAATGAAAGCAACCAGTACCAAGAGGAAGAGTCCTTCAATACTAGAGTTTTTCAAGCACAAAGGAGGCAAAACACTGAATAATTTGCCAGAAGAGAAAAAGCAGAAGCAATCTAAGCAATCTTTAATCTCGCCTCTTAAGTCATGGACACCGGTTGATAAGCGAGCAAAGCAGGTATACAGATTGTTTCTCATAACGTACAAATGCTACATGAGTGAAATTTTACTATTTTGGTGATTGCTCTCTGCCTTAATGTCCGTTTTTCTTCAGTCCCTATCATTTGCAGTGAATGGAAGAGGAAGCCAAACAAAACTGGTTTGGAAATAAGGAATTTATCATGCCTTCAGTGTAAACATTTAAGATCGCAGCAACAATATTTCAGTGGCCACAGATTCAACTTCGGTGTTTCAGATTTTGGAGGTCGGTATCTCATTCCCCGCGTATAAAAATATCTCTGTTACTACCAAATAGGTAACACAGCAAAGACAAAATTAAGTTTAATAAATACTTAAGGGATCCGTTTTTAAACTGGAGTTGTAGGTGTGTAGATCTGATCTATCCTTTCGTAGGTAAGCCTGCTCTGATAAAGATAGAACTAGAGCCTATATTCTGCTGCATATGAGTAACCTTATACTCCCTCTTTGATGAACATTTTTGGTGAAAATGCTGAAACTTAGGCATTTAATTATAACTTCCTAGAGAAGAAATACTGCACATATGTTATTGCATGCTCTGGGTTTCTGTTGCTCTTTTCTTGATTTCCACAGACGTCCTCAGCTTCGTTAGGGATTCAAAAGTTACTTTTATAGAAAACTTTTTTTATATTAACACACGAGTCATAAAAAGCTTTCCTCAATGATGTCAAACAATTATATTTGCAGCTCAAATGGATCCTCGCTGCTTTCACCCCCAGAAAAGTTCCACTCCCAAACCCTGCATAGAAATATTAGTTCTTCTTACCATTCTTGAGGTTTCTAACAGCCATCACAAGTTGTTGTCTTTCGCCTTCTACCTCCGCAAATTTCAGGCTTATCTCTGAATATCTTTCTTCCATTTCTTTCAGCTCTCTCTCCATGCAGTTATTTTTATTCTTGAGATGAGCCAACTCATCCATTAGTTTTGTAATGCTCTCCTTGTTGTGTCTGTTAGAAGTGGAAAGCTTCTGCTCTTTTCCTGACTGTCTTTCTTCCGTCCTGTTATAAAATGACATAGATGTAGATCATATGGAGTGAATTGGGGCTAGAGAGGAAAACTAAAAGTCTTAGTTATTTTTCTGTACCTTGCATCAAGGATTTTAGAAATATCCTCTTCTTTTCTCTGAATATCGGTCTTCAGGTTCGATACTTGTTTCCTTAGAGCTTCATTCTCCATTTTCTCTTGAACAAAGCTATTCTGTAATTCACTGTACTGTTGGCTAAGTCCTTCCACTTCTCTCCTCAAATTCCGGACCATGCTCTCTTTCTCATCATGAGATGACCTAGTGAGAACTAAATCTTTTTGTGCTCTCTCGGCTTCTTCTTTAGCCAATGTAAGTTTTCTCTGCAGTTCGTCTCTTTCTTTCCTCCATTCCTGAATTAGCATCTCAGTTTCAGTAGCTGTTGCATTCGATTCATCCCTCAGCTTTGTCAGCTTCTCTACCTCTGCTTCGAGCATCTGAACTCTCATTGACAGTGCTTCACTCTTCTCTTCTTCATACCTCTTCAGTTCTTTATGTTTTGAGATCTCTGCATTTGCTTTTTGTAGCATTTCTTCAAGATTTTTGTTTTGCGTGCGGAAATCATTTGCTTCTGCCACGCTCTTCATTGTCAACTTCTCGTTCTCGCTTAGCTTAGACTCCATTTCTAGAGAAAGCCTCTTGCATTTCTCCTGTAGCCGCTCAGCTGTTATAGCGTTCTTCCACCTTGTTCTCCTCAACTCCTCCTCTGATTTTATGGCCCTCTGCTCCTGCTCGGTCTTGGCCTTCACCATTGCTTCAAGGTCTTCATCGAAAATCCGAGCTTGCTCTTCTAGTTCTTTCTTCAGTTCCTTGGCCTGACTTTCGAGTTCGTTAATTGTAATCAAGCATTCGGAGTATTCCAATGACTGCTGCTTTATTTTGTCCTCCAATCTCTCTATCTGAGATTCCAATTCTTCTATAGTATGTCTAGAATCTGGGCATATATCTTGTGGTTTCAAGTGTTCTTGCTGCTCTAACCTCAAAGATATGTTGCTGTTTTCCTCTTTTAAGGACTCGTATTCTTGAGTCATTTCATTCAGTTGGATCTCCAGTTCCTCGTTCTTTTTCCTGTAAGAGTCTAACTCCCAGTCCAAGTCTTCGTTTCTTCGTTTTAGCATATCAATCTCGACTTTCCATCCTTGTTGGCTTTCATCCTCATTTGCATCAGGTCCAGAATCCATTTCCCTGTCCTTTTGAAGCTTCTTAACCTCTTCCAATTCAGTACCCAGTGAAGAAATCTCGCTGTTTTTCTGCTCCAACATCTCATTCAGATCACGCACTGCAAGAATCAGGTTGGAGTTCGATTCTTGAGTCCTCTGCAGCTGCAACCTAAGGTTGCTACTCAAATCCTTTTCGCAATCTAGTTCATCTCTGATCTCTTGTATCATATTGCTCGTATCCTCGCTGATGCTTCTCAATCTGCTTTCAGCTTCAGCTTCATCTACATTTTTCTGCAGCTTGAGCTGCTTGCATTCATCCAAAAGATTATCTCTTTCTTCCTTGAGACAACTTAGTTCTTTCGAGAGTTCCTGTACCCGTTTGCCTTCCTTTGTAACCTGTTTCTTTAGAGACTGCATTTCCAGCTCAGTTAGTTCTGATTGCCTCCTCAAAGCTTCAAGCTCTACCTTCTGTCTGTCACCAGGGTCATTCGAATCATCAGCAAATCCTCTTTGGAAATTGTTCTCAGGACTGTTTCTTGACTCAATATAACTTCCATCTGATGTTGAACTTGCTGACCATTCTGTGTTTGATCTCCGATGCCCGTTTCTTCTTGAAGGGATCGAGTTCTGTCGATGAGGTAGACGCATACTCCCGTCAGGACCATCTATCCAGCATGATGCTCCATTAGAATCAAAGGAACCTAGTAGGCTCCCGTTCTTAGGCGTGTTTGTATCCAAGCTGCTTTCCTGTGAAGAAATCCAGAGAGCGGGGATTGATATTTTATCGGGGCCTGCCTAATGGTTTCATTTTATTTTTTATTCTAAGAGAGTTTACTCCGTAAACCAGAAGCTTACATCTCGATTAAATCCATCTACATCATCATTGCTTTGTTGGCTTTTGAAGCTCTCTTCTTTGGTGAGTGCTTGATCTCCATTTTCTTCGATAAATCTGCAAAGTTTGACAAAAATCTTTTACTAGATCGTCGGAGTAAATGCCAGAACGAAGAAAAGGCAACAATTTGACGGACAGTGTGAAAGAAACCTTAGATCATTGGCTCCCTGTATCTTCTGGATTGTCACCTGCACCAAAAGGGACATTTTAATCATGAAACCGACCCTTCTTATGTTAAGCACTGGTTTACATAGCAAGTTAGCACTGTTTTGTCGGTTAATTGCTTAGTTTTCATCTTAGATGGCAAATCCTGACAATTTAACCGATCCGATTCTTACACAGGCTTTGACATGAAGACACGAGAGAGAGAGAGGGAGAGAGAGAGAGAGAGAGAGAGAGAGAGAGAGAGAGAGAGAGAGAGCAGACATGTAAAACTGCACCGGAGTTGGCGAACTTAAGCGGCAAGGAGACAGTCAATGGCTCTGCCTCTGCCACAAAATCTGCAAAATCAATAGAAGCTTCTCCAAGAAAGCCCGACTTGGAAGAACCCTGAAACCAAAAAAAAAATTGAAAGGTCCAAACTTTCACACAACTTCAAGGGTATACTCAGAGGTATTAGACGAAACATAATCATATCATCATCGACCACACTCACTGTTGCTACGACGAAATGGTATATCTTCTCACGGATAATCCCAGTTTTTGGTTCTTTAATCAGTTTCACTGACACATATATTGGATTTTCCCACGAACAGGTTCCGTCTTTGACCTGAGACTTCTCGAGTTTAAATGTTGCCTTCCCCACATCATCAGGAACCAAAGATATCATCAGTGCGGATTTCTTCAGCTTCGGCACCTGGAAAAAAAAAGCCCAGGAACCAGGTAACATTCTCGTTCCAATCTCTGATTTACTTGACTCAGATTTCGTAATGTCAATGCGATAAGCCCATAATTTTTGGTGTAGCTGAGAAAGAACTGTCACTTAGAACTCTTCACATTCACACTAGAGCAGACCTTAGAACCTAAGTAGATCGATCACAGATCCAGAACCAAATTACAACATTGTTTTGAATCCCAGACCTCGAATTCCATGAAATGACGATTCTATAGGATCAACATTATTGGGGGGGGGGGTTTATAAAAAAAACAATCAGACAAAAGTAAAGTACCTGAGTTGCCTGGAACTGCAGCTTGAACACAGCTTTGATCTTGTTCTTGTCGTTTCTCCATGACTTAAACATTGTTTCTCGAAACTACAAAAACTTAAAAACAAAATTTTCCCACCGAAAAGCCCAAACAAAACTCAGAAACATAAAAAAGAAAAAAAAAAACAGAGGAATTTGTCTGAAATCTGTAGTTGTCTCGAGGTCTGAAGAAGAATGAATTCAGGCAGAAAAAAAAAAGGGTTTTTGAAGTGTTAATGTGACAGCTGTGAGGATAGCACCCACCAAAATAAATCTGGTTTCCAGTCTGTTATCACTTTCCTTGTTAGATTAGAAAATAATGAAGGAAAAAAAACAAAGTGGGAAAGAATATGCATTAAAAATATTAATCAAGTGATTAGCAGAAGTGATAAGTAAGAATCAGGGCCTCTTAAGGCAAATTTAAACCGTGTACTCGTATATTATCCCACACAGGGACCACAAATCTGTACCGTTGAGGTTCCAATTCATGAACATTGTTTTTATTAATTGCAAACAACAAATTTTATATAATTATCAAATTTAATAATACCAAATAATTATTGCTGGTATCAATTCATGAGCTTGTTTATTAAATTTTTTGTTAAAAATTATTTTTTTTTAAATTAAAATTATTAAATCCGTTATCTTTGAACCATTTCCATATTCTTTTTTAGTATCTTAAAATATTAGATTCTTTAATTATATTTTTAGTCCAAATAAAATTCAAAAAACAATTTTATTTAAATAATCAATGTATCTATATTATTTGTATATATTTATATTATTTTATAATCCAATAATTTATATTATTTTTAATAAAATTATATTTAGATATTTAAAAATATAATACTAAGATATTTTTATAAATAAATCGTAATTTTTATTAACGAAATTTTGTTTATAAGTCTCAACAATATTATTTTGAGGCGGCGTGTAGAAGGTTATAGGTTGAGTTTATTGTGTGTGCCCCTTTCGGGTGATTGAGTAAGAAATTAACTTTTTCTAATTTATTCCATTAAATTAAATTGAAAAGTGCTTTTCTTTTTAATGCAGCAAGGCATTTTGGGTTCTCTTCCTTCTTGTTTTTCCTTGCACCTTTATTTCATTGACACCCCAACCCCACCTTTTTTTTTTTCTGCGGCTCCAAAAGTCCAAGATTTAACCAATCCTTCTTCCTTTTTCCACGACAGGTCTCTAATATATATATATATATATATATATATATATATATATATATATTGTACCACCGATTCGATCTAATATATTTTTATAGAAAGCATGTAATGCAAATTAGGCATGTATGTAGTCAGAAAGAGGTGGTGAGCGTGGGTACGTTTAAATGTTAAATTTGTTCGAATTATGGTGTGCTAATTTTTTTTTTGGGACAAATTATGGTATGCTAATTTCTATGTTTAAATCCGAATCTTGTGATAAGATCAAAATCTGCGCCAGTGAATTTTTGGAAAGTGAGTAATCATTACTCGGTACTCGGTAGGCTTCAGGGGCGTGGGGTCACCGTGTATATATATATATGTTCACGCTAAGGGTTCTATTTCCATATTAAAAACGATTTTTTTTTGTATACAAACGATTATTGTAAATCGAGATTTTGTATAAATGTTGGTAAAAGGAGCAGGGCATTGTAATCAAATAATTCTTGAATTTAAGTTTTTAACTAATAAAATAATATTGTTTTGGAAAATCCAGGTATTAAAATGTATTTTGTTTAAAATCCGAGTTTTTCCTTGTCATTTTCATGAAATTCATATTTCGTTTACATTTTCGTTTTCTAATAAACCAATAATGACGACAGTAATATTTGGGTGCAATATGTCAATCATTCACTATTTTGTTTTCTATTTGAAAAAAAAAGTAAAACATAATATCAAACATAACTCATGCACAGTCCTATATGTAATATGTGTGTGTATATATATATATAATAGGTATAACACACACGATGCATTGCTGTATCACATGGCATTTCATGCACTAGCACTAGAACTAGAACTAGAACTAGCTACTCCTTGAAAACATAAATGGATTTGGATTGAGAATAAATGGAGTAAACTTGTATTTAGAGGTTATAGTTGAAATTTTTAGTTTTCTAATAGAAAGGTCAAACAAAAAAAGATGTTCATGGATGGGTGGTCCAACATCTTAATACAGGGCTTTAATTAATTTGATACTGTCTGTTATGGAAATGATATATTTAATTAAAGCCTTCAAATAAGTTTGGGGTTTTCTTTTTCTATTCCATATTGCATGGTGTGGAACATTATTGATAGTGGTTGGATGCAACATGCATACGTTGGATGCTATTGTTTGTGAAAATATTATTAATCACAAACACACACACATATGTATGTATGTATGTTACACGTAGACCCTATCATAGAATAAAAACGTCGGGATTTCCTTAAGAAAGTGGGTATCATGTAGTTGACTATATGACATGTGATGATGGTTATAGTGTTTTAATTATAAAGCAAAATAAATAAATAAAAAACAACGAGAATACAGAAATAAGAGAGGTTTAATTTGATTATTAAAAAAAGAGAGGTTTAATTAATTAATTAATTAATGATTAGATGATGTATTAGATGGACAAGTGGGTTTTATCAAATCCCGGAGAGGAGGCACTTGACAGAGCACATGAGGACATGTGCTTCTGCACTCTCTAAACTCAACAACGGTCCTCTCTTAATTACACTTGCGTCTTGTCTCTCCTTTGCCTTTCCCTTTATTTTTTCTTTTTAGCATTTCAGCTGTTAGTTATTAATCCTTCCGTTTTTTAATACATGTCGTTTTAGATTTTTTTTCATGGTTTTTAAGAAAATATAGTCACATATAGCCTCATTAAAACATATTTTCATTCATGATTATGAAGTTAAATATTTTAAATTAAAAATTTTCTTAAAAAATCACCTAGAAAATCTAAACTACATCTATTAAGATACAAAAAAATATTATCTTAAACGAGAACTAATCAGAGGGAGAATTTTCTATCCTTATGTATTATACATGATAAATTCTTTTCTATCAAGTTAAATATAAAATAATAAAAATTAAGACAAATTAAATTATACATCAAATATTTTTTTAATTGAATTGAATCAAATCAAATATAATTAAAATCTAAATAGACATATTTTTTAAATTTCTTTTGATAGATACACACACACACACGTGTATATACATCTCATCCTTTTTTCTAGAAAGAGAGGAAATACAACTTGTTATGAATGCTACCATGAGAAAGTAATGCGTGCGGGAGGAATTTATTGTATTTCCAAGGCATGTGGTGATGGGAAAGGGATTTATCAAGGAGGCATGCTACTCTTTTTCCCACCGGCAAAATATGTCCGATTCCGTTATTATGAATTTAAAATCCTTTGATTATTTTCATTTTAAAAAATGTGATCTAACTAATAGCATTAATGGGTATTTTTTTCGTATTTTTGGTGGAATTAATGAGATTCAAACCAACCAAACGAATCAAATCACAATTGTAGGGTTCTCATTTAATTACGGTCGGAAAATATCATCTATTAGTAACTCATAACCACTTCTACCCTCTTCTCATGACATGCATTATATAATTCATCATTTCATGGAATCCCCTGACTACATTGAAATATATTATTTTAATAAACATGTTACAAACTTCAAAAAATAAATAAGATATGAATGTTCAAGGTTATAGGTACATATGCGTGTGTTTATATGTGAATCAACAATGTGTATGAAAAGGGCTTACCACGATCCGATGCAAAACTTAGCGCTTCCTCTTAAAAACACAGAATCTTAATCTTTTCGAGACACAAGGTTTAGCTTTTCTTCTCTTTTTTTTCTTTTTCTATTTTTCCTGATATATATACGTATATGTGTGTGTGTGTGTACATTAGAACTTATAGAATATGTGTATATATAATCATAATTTTCTTACTTTTAACGAGTATTCAACATGATTAATGTAATGTTATTTGACTTGGCCGTAACGAGGAAAGTTGCTGCTCTTAATAAAGATGGCAATAGTTATCAAAATTTTAAATTTATGTAAGCTTAAAGATTTCCAAATTAATTAAATCATTGTAGATTTTATCAAATCTACACTAAATTTTACTCCATTCGATGGGATTGGATTACGATATATTAGAGTTTCTTAAAATTAATTGCAACTTTCAATCAATTCTTCTAAGCGCCCAAATGCCTAATTGATTATCAGTTTAGTTCGAATTCTTTTTTAATTTAATTTAAATTTTATTTTCAAGGATTTTTTTTTTAAAAGAAAACATCCTTCTCGTGCAATTTTTCATACTAGACAGAAATTAATGTTTTCACGTGTTAATGCTTTCGAATAGATTTTGCGTACTAAACAGAAATTAACATCTAGTTTAGTAAATGTTTTTCTTTTTATCCTTAATCAGTGATTACTTTTTTTAACCCAAAGACATAATTTGAACCATTAATATATCATATAAGATGATAATTATCAATATATATTACCCCATCGTTTCATAGATCTTCAAAAAGTTTAATTTGAAATCTAATAATATATCAATAATGTTGCCTCAAAATCTTAAAAAAAAACAATTTATTTTAAAAATAAATATATCGAACAAAGTCTCTGAAGATAAACACTCTACTCGGATTATAAAGAACCCTTGCCACCAAACAGAGTTTTTGCTCTCCATGGATCCACCAAAAGGCTTAAGAACTAACCATGTTGAAATGGAATCTCGACAGCTGCTGAGGAATGGTCGATATCACCGGTCCATATCTCTGTTCCCACCCAGAAATTCCTCACCGTTAGAATTCGGATCCATACTAAAAATAACAAATCATTTCTTCTAAAGAAAGACCCGAGGGCCCTGCCAAAATTATCGAACCTGAACATTGTCGTAGAGTTCGAACAGTGGGACGGCCAAGAGTTTCAAGTTCTTCGGCACTGCAAAGTACTCTTTCTCCGACAGGTGAACTATGAAGAGCCTCTTGCACTCCTACACAGAAGAGTGTAATGTAACGTAATGTAATGAAACCCTCTCTCAGCTAAAACTGGTTTTATTTATTACCTTTGGCTTTGTGATGTGAGGAGGGCAATACGGATACATCATTGTCTCGAAGTTCGGACGCCACCATGTGGCCACGCATTCACCTACCTGGAAACAGGAGACACCATGAGAATTTCTAACAGGACACAAAGGCTTAATCCCATTTTCCAGCCATTGATTCCTCGTCACAGTCTCACAGACAAGCATGTCTGTATATTATTACCCGACAAATTTATGGAAGACGAACTGCATCTACTTTTATGTACCACACTGATCCGGGTTGACAACAACTATCTATCTTCATCCATACCCAATGCCTAGATTCGAGGTGTATATGTATCTGGGAATATGCTCACGAGCAATCAAAAGGAGAAAAACAAGGGTACCTTCCAGTCAGGCATGAGACCGGGCGAGTTACCTCCAAGCTTGCTGGTTAACTTTCTTTTCAAGCCCTCAATTTCTGCCAAAAAAAAAAACTCGGAAATGTGAACAAAAGAACATAACACAACAGTGGGGAAGTAACATGGAAAGGTCGAGATACCATTTTCTCCTGGCTTCAAACGTCCACCAGGAAGTTTGCAGAATGTGTTACCAATTTGCAGGAGAAGTATGTGAGGATGGTTGTGCTCTTGTACCTGCAAGGTGAACCAATAAGGATTTCAGTGCTGAGGGCCGAAACAATTGGAAATCAATTAAGGTGATAAACCAGACATATCGAACGTTCTGTGAAAATAGAACTTTCTGTCAAAGTAGGACAGAAAGTCAACCATATCTTATGTCCTCAGCACATTGCAACTTAAAAAAGAAGCAAATGTTCCTCCATGGATGATGGACCAACATGGAAAATTTACAAGGACAGCATGCACACCATATTCAACAAGTTTAAGAGTTTAGCAAACTCAGTTTGCTAAAAGAGAAACACCTCAATACATAAGTAACTGCAAGCCTAAAAACATGCCTGCTATGAGACTAGCAAATATCTGTGGATTTCTACTCAAATTTTTCGAATATGGAAAACTAGTGGTTTGTTTGTTCAGATAAATTCATTTAGAACACAGGTGCTTGCGTGCGCAAAAGGAGATTCAACCAGCACAAATTTCACATTAGAAATGTTTCGGGATGACAACTAGAAAGGAAACAGATGCCTCTCTGATAGATCATCACTGAAAGCTTTCTTGTCATGTTATTTTCCTAGTGAAAGATTGCTAGGAGTGCACAGTTTTATACACTCTCCACAATGAAACTACAAAGAACGACTTTATCTGAGATGGCAAAGAATGATGTATATCAACATGACAATGGCGTTACACAAATAAGGATTGAGATTGCTACAGAATCGATATTTATTTAGCACACGTACAGCAACAGGATACAACTACACATGAGCATTTGCCAAACTCACATATGAAACAGGAAGAAAGATCACATACCAATAGAATCCCTTCAACGCTAGTCCTCATGCCCTCCTTCATATAGCTGCCCCCCACCATTAGCAATGAAGAGATAAACAAACTTTCAGTCTCCATAGTCCAGAAATAAGTCTCAATAATAAACACTAAGCTAGCAATCCATTAATTCAAAGCCAAGCACAGACTTTGAAAATGAACTTAGCCATTACCATGGCTACAACAACCTTTAAACTTAATCCAAAAACCCTAGGATCTTGTTGTAGATTCAAAGTTCATAAATGAAAAACTTTACTTAATTATGCCAAAAACAGCTATAAGTGAGGAATTCAGCGGAACCCAGAACCAGAAGATATTGAAGGTAGAGAAACAAAACGAGAGGACAACAAAATTCCAGAAGAGAGGAACAAAACATCACTGGTCATGAGTTTACTCCCTAAAACAGTCGCATATAGCAGAAGGCTGAAGAATTCACGCAACTAATCAGAACTACCTCTGATATTAGCAAAATTCTGAATAAAATCAGCGAGATGATGCTTCAGCCTCGAGCGTATGAATCCAAGGGAAGAACAAAGATCCCTAGGGTTTTACTCAACCATCTTTTTCCCGAACATGATCTACGGAAAACAAAAGAAAAAACAGAAGAAAGAAAAAGGAGAAGAAACGTGCTTGACTTTCATACGAGCGAGACGATCGGCGACGGAGGTGTCCTTCTCCAGCTTCGGCTCCTTGGTCCCGAAGCTGTAGTTCGACAAAGGGTACGTGTTCACCACCGGAGATAACACCATCTCTCTCTCTCTCGGCGGAGGAATCAACAGGGAGGAGCAAATCCCGGCGAAGAATATTTACGAATCACCCTGTGAGGTTTACTGGCTGCGGTGAAACAAACGAGAAAGCTCGATTTCGGTTTTCGGCCTCATGGGTCTCTGGTCAAATGGTTTGGTTTTAAGGCTCGTGGGCTAATTGGGCTGGGCTTTTCTTGCCATCAAACCCAAATCACATTAAATTATAAACTTTTAAATTAAATTAAATACAAGAATAATCAAACAAATACGCCATGAATATCCACTTTGTTAGCTGGTAGATATAAAAACAGAGGCACGTGACAGTTATAGAGATGACGTGAAAGAGAAAGGTGTCTATTGTATAGTTGATCAAATGGGTCATCGTGTAATTTCGATAAGATATCGATACCCTACCATTACCAAGAAGCCATGCATGGACCTCCGGTTTCCAATCCGATTCTTTTCGAGATTTTGCGATTCATGATCGTCATCGGACCGTGGCGTTCAGATATCCAAACTCCCATGAATGTCGTCGAACGGACGACATTGAAAACAGCAGTGGACCCATAAAAAGTTGTAACCTGGAGCAATAGTTTTATTATGGGCGTTTGTCATGTGGGCAATTGACAAAAAAAAAATTAAAATTCTATAAAATTTATAAAAAAAAAACATCTATTTTTGTTTAATTAAACAAATTGGGTAGGTGACCCATGGATTTGCAAATGGGTCATAAAAAACAAAGTCGAGCTCAAAGAAAATGGGAAAAGAGAGAAAGGAGGAGTGGAGAAGAGCAGTGCATGGAGAGAAAAAGGAAGGGAGGGAGGAAGTCGAACAGTCAAAACTAAGGGGTATCATTTCGAATTTGATTTCGGTTCGGTTATTTTGATTATAGAAAAATTATAACCATTTTATTGGGGTGTATATCGATATATATATTTGGATATATCTAGTTTCCTTATGTTGATAGATTTGGTGGAGATTTGTTCCTGGTATCTTTAGGGTTTGTTAACATTATCTATACATATATTCGACCAGCTCGACATAATGCAACACATAATTCTTTTCCAGACGTCGCCTCTTTTATATCACATTCGATTTTTATATAAAATTCAAACTCAAATGCTAGTTCTACTTTTAAGTGACGGATTCTCGTCCGACATCAAAATTCAAACCCGAAATTCGGGTTCTCAAACTCAAACTCGTCTTGTCGAATGATGAATAACCCATATTTGGGTATCCTAACTCATATATCGGGTCGAATATCCGATTTTAAGAGGAGTTTTAGGTTAAGAATGGATAACCATCACCATGTCACTTTTGCAGGATGATCCATCATATATAGAATGTAACCCATTTCTAGGAACCCTAAATATTATCATTTTATGATTATTTGATTAGCTCAATCGGTGTAAAAGTGGCGACACTATATCCAATATCGATGCCTCCAAACATGAATGTTTCCAATTTCTCAAACGGTGAAATTCTTTAGAAACTATAAATCTCATTTGGAATATAAAAAAAAATACAAGGTTTAATCAATTTTATCGTCATTAACAATTTTCGTTTGTAAAAAAAAATAATAACAGAATTATGTTTGAATTGTTTTATTAGTTGTGTTGTCCAGAAAAAACCTCTAAAACACCGTCGGATCCTCCGGCAACGAGGACGCACCCGTCTTCACCCACTTGTCTCCAACACACGCTGCTCACGAACTGCCGGTCCGTCCCGACCCGACCTGTATGACCCGACCCGACTCCGAACCGGTGGATCCAAACCGGGTCTCCCCATCTCGTGTCGTACACAACCACGTTATCATCCTCCGAACCGGACGCAAGCAAACCCCCGTGTCTCCACACCGACAACCCCACAAAGTTGCGGCTGTTCACGTGCCCTCTGTACGTGCGAACCACGCGCCGGCCCTCGGACACGTCCCATGTCTTCAACGACCCGTCCGTTGAAGCCGTCACGACGGTCCGAGGATCCAGGAACCGAGCATACGACACCGTTTTGCTATGACCCTCAAGTGCCACGACGGGGTCAACGAGCCGTCGGATGTCGTACACGTAAGCACACCGGTCAGCGCATCCGACGGCCAAGGATGGTCCACCGGTTGGATCGAACTCGACGGAGCAGATCGCTGATCCACCACCGGGTCTGATCTTTGACGGCTCGGCCGATCCGGACTCGGCGGCTCGTGAGTCCCACATTTGCACCGTTCCGTCGTCAGAGCCCGACGCACCGATAACCGAGCCCGTGTAGCGCGTGTAGTCGACGCTCCACACGCGTCGGCCTCCGTGCTCGTCTCTCTCGAAGACGGGGACTCGCTTCTCGGCGTCGTACTCCGTCACGACGCCGTCGTAATCGCCCGACCCGATTACCCGATTGCTCGAATCGGGCCTCCATCTGAGGCTGCTCAATTTCGCCGGAGTGCAGATGCAGAACTGGAGTACCTCGCCGTGATCTAACACTACTGTCGGAGAATCTGGGAACGAGCTCATACGATAGAATCGGATTTTCCTGGAGATTCCTCCGGTGGCTAAGATTTCTCCCGTGGAGTCGAACTCGATTGCTCCGATGGCGTCCGAAGGCGCCGTCTTGGCGGAGCCGGAGGCGACAATGGCGGCGGACAAAGACAGATTCCACTCGCATCTGGGTTTGTCCACATCTTTATCTCCTTTGTCTGATGATTCCATGGGTGCAAGAGACGACAAGCTCTTCATCGGCCATTCGAATGAAGGAGAAAGATCATCAATGGATGATCTGATGTTGGGGATGATTTCGGGGCAAAGCAAGGCTTCCATTGAAGTAGTTGTTATCAATCAAAGCTCGTTCTATGTTCATATAAAATCCACGTCTACAATACGTTACGTATGTATATATAGACCACTAAGTCGGGTTACTTTTTTCTCTCTTTTAAATGCATGGCATATCTATCTATCCACACACACACACACATATGCGACTAAAATATTGCATGACATATATAATGTCGCTATGATAATTGTAATAACTACGTTGGGCTTCTTTCATATATAAATACACATCTAATATTATAAACAGGTACGTATATATATACATAATTACATATATATAATGATTTTTAAGAATATTATTCCCAACGATTTAAATAAAATTTATGTCAAAAGTGACGCAAATTGAGCTGAATACTCTCGATTAGGGAGAGGGTTCCGGTATATTAATCCGGGTTAAGAAGAATTGGGTTTGGATAGTTAACCGGATGAGTTTTTATTTCTACCGTAACGGTGCGTTTTTTATCTGTTCGTTAAGTTTACTATTTCTTGCTCGTTATATAACACAAGCTTCATGTGTTATCAATGGCGAGATTTTCTTTTTTTCTTTTCGCAGAGAGATTGGGTGAGGCTCAGGTTTTGTACTCTTGAATTTTCTCTCGGCATTGCAACATGAACGACCCTAGTGGATTGTCGAGAATCTCATCGGCCGAGACGTAGGACCTGTTGGTCTGAACTCATAAAAGCCATGTGTGTATTTTGCTTGTGTGTTCTTGCCGAATCTTCGAGAAATCGGACAGAATTATAGGGTTACATGGTATAATTTATTTATCTATTTTTGAATTAATATATATTTTTTTGGTAACCAGATATCTTGGATCAAAACTCATACTAATTCTAGGACGGAAGTCAATCATCTGAATTGGATTATACATTCCCTCCCCAAATTTAAAGTTCGAACTCGGGACAGAACAAATATTTTGTATCCTCATTTCACCGATTGAACTATCCAAGTTTGGGTAATTAACATTTTTTTAAATGTGTTTTGATCATCTCGTGTGGAGTAGACCTTTTTTTGGTCGACTGAGTTTGGACCGAGTTGTCTTTTATCGATCTTTAATAGGCCATATGTCTCTGTCCATAGTTTCTGTACTTCGATGCACCAATATTGAAAATTAAAGAAATTTAAAATGCAAAACTTTTTTTTTTATATGTAGGTTAGCACTTTGATTTCTATCTTCATTGCCTTATTTATATTTCATTTAAAATTGAAATAAAAACATAATTTAATGCTCGAAGTTTTGAACTTTCCAACATAATGTATTGAAAACATTTGCATGGCAAAGGATGAAAAGGAAAAAAATGAAATTATCTAATTAAATGGCCTAAAAAAGAGGTTGACAACTTGACGTGGACCGACCACGTTGAAATTCATAACTCAGCCTCCATGAATTTTTTTTTTCATTTCGACTGATTTTTCTTCAAGTTTTCTAGTTTTTAGAAATTTATTTTTATTTTTTTTGTATCAAGTTTTATAGTTCCATTTCCATTTCAATTGAATTAGACTCTTACCGGATTATTTATCATTGAATTCAATTTTATATATCCGAATCGGAAAAGGGTAAAACTGGAATTTAGATTTGTATGAGTAAAGGTGCATTTAAGATAGGAAGAAGCTGGGCACAAAGTGCACTTGTTGGTTGAACGTGTGCCTCAAATTTCGAAGCACGAGACTTCCTAACTCTTTTTATGTTTGGTCGTAGATCTCTCCGACGTGGTTCATATTTTAGCCTCTTTATTTTGTAAATTTATTGCTCTTTTTTATTAAATAAAATAAAATAAAGTGAACATAGAAAATACACGTCGACAGTCCAATAGTTTACAATTTATATAGCGAGTATTTTGGTACATGAGATAGCGCATGTTTTTTGATTAGCTGTAACCATTCCAACATACGTTTGCCAAACTCAGATCCCTCCCCTCTAATTCAATCATTTTTTTTCTCTTGTGTGACAGCTTGGGATGACATGTTATATCCTTGAAGATATTTATTATTCAGGAAGTTTTATTTTTTTTACGAATTTCACAATTTATAAGTAATTACCATAAATATTTCGAGTTAGATTGAACACCCGAGTGTTCGACCCGACTGATGAATAGGAAACCCGAGATTCGGGGATTCGAACATCAGATTTTTAGTTTTGAGATATTCGAAATTCGGATTTGAATTCGAGTCTTACATTTTCGTCTCGCGAATGCAAGCGAAAATGTAAAAATATCCATAATTTGTTTTTGAATATTATAAAAAAAAAAAATCACTCGTTTAATGTTAACCCTAAATCTTTCTTACACGGCGTTGAATTTAAACTTCGTCTCATTTGGAATATTTGTGTGATATTCAAAACCGAGATGTACCAAATTCCAAACCAGTCGGATTTGAAATCGAATACCCATAACCAATCAGTATTCTCTTTTGGGTTTCTTCTAAAAAACAGGCCTTGTGGCCCATTAACTTTGATTTTGGGCTCGGCTATTTAGGTTCAGCCCAAATATTCTCCGTCTTGGTCGCGTCGTCTGTCAGTTTTGTAACGCAAGCACAAAAGGGGAAGTGTGACCCGGAGGTGGAAAGCGCGCGAACACCGGCAACGATTCCGCCATGGCCAAGTTGTCTGCAAAGTAAGCGGCAAAGCAAATAGTATCTATCATCCAGAGTACTTATTACAAGAGAACCAACTCAAGATTCTGTTCCAAACAGTGAAAGCCAGAGTCTGATAAAAATGAAAGAAATCTATTCCTTCTTCACATCATCCTCATCATTGGTCGTTGTTTCGGGCACGCTTTTGGGGCCATCGAGATCAGAAGTTTCCACGGTTTCGGATGCAGGAGCAGCTACGGCATCTGTCTCAGCTTCTGGACCATTCTTCTTGACAGAACCCACTTTGACATACTTGCTCATGAACTTGTACTCCCAGTCCTGAAGAGCCTCCAGCTCGAATGGGCCGAGACCCGAGATATCACCAGTCAAATCTTTTTCCTCGAACGACATTTTCGCAAGGGCTCGGCTCGCGTCTTTGCCAGCAAACAATGCGTATGGTCCACCGGGTCCATAGAACATCCTACACCGAAATACATTGGATACTTTCGTTACAAACATTAGCACTTGTAAAACCAATCAAACAACATGAAACTGATGTTCCAGTTCCAGTTCCAGTTCCAGTTCCAGTTCCAAACTCAAGGTGATCATGTTTAGGTAACTAACATTCACCAGATGGATAATGCAGGGAAAATGATATCCAATTTGCGACTCTCGCTGGACACTAATCTCAAGACTGGATTGCAATTGCATCATTTGAATTTCTATGGAATAATCTTAGAGGAAAAACACACCTTTTGAATGATTTAGAGGAAAGCCTAAACCTTCGAAATATGCAAAGCAAAAGAGGGAAAAGTATACTCCACCAAGAATCAATTATCACCAAAAGGATCTTTTGTCAAGAAGACGAAAATAAAGGTGAAAGCTTTTCCATCAAACCCAGAAATTGGGTAAAATTTGTGAAGATAGACATAGACGAAGCATGAAAGTCAAAGTACTCATCGACCCAGGTAAGACTAAGGGATAACAAATCGAACCCAAAAGCTACTTCTCCTTGGGGAATTTTAAAATTTTTAGGGATTTAACCTGCTCTGGGAGACATCGTAGATCTGGCCTTTGATGGCCATGAGAAGGGGCTTCTTGGGATCGGAGCCGTCATACTGCTTGAGCTCCTCCTCCATGATCTCACCGACCTGCACAGGCGGGGGAAGCGGTTCCACGTCCTCCACGGCAGATCTCGGCCGTTGATTTCGCCGGACGTCATCGAACGGTGAAGCAAACCAGCCGGAGACGACGTGGTAGAAGGCAAGCGCCAAAGCCAAGACGGTGAAAAATACGGTGGGAGAGAGACCGGTGTAGGCGTGTATGGCTTCTTTCAGAGTCTCCCATAGTTGCAGCGCCATGGCCGATGAAACGAGAGAGAGATGTTTTGTGTCCTTGTATAGTCAGATTTTGTAAAGGAGAGAGTAGTTGGTCCTTTTATTTTCCTGTTGTTTTATTCTGCCTCGCCAAACATATCAGAAAGTATCCGAATTTTATTAAGGGAAAAACACATAAAAATTTCTGAACTTAAGCAAATTGCAAAATAAAAAAGTCCTTTAAATTTGGAGTGTACCAAATAATTTTTGAACTTATAAAATTATCTCAATAAATTATAATTTTATTAAAAAGTATCATATTAGTCATCCAGAGAAAACTAATTATAATAATATGATTTTATTTACTATGTGGTAGATGACATGGTATACCAAGTGAAATTTTTTTATCACGTAATCAGTATTAGGTTTTAGAAAACCAGTTTCTTCAACCTTCAGTTCATCATCCTCTTCGAACAACTTCAAAAACTGCTCATCACTTCTCTTCTTCTGTCACATCTTATACACGAAGAACGATAACAACACCATAGTACTGGGTTTTAGAAAATCGTTTTCTTTTTGCCAAAATCGAGTCCCGAGAGCAAAGTCCGATCTCGAAACTTCATTTTCTCCATCATCGACGATTTCTTCAGAAATCGCTGGCAATTTCTCCAAGCAACGGTGTCGTCGGCGTCGCGTTCTCTTCAAGCAACGTTGTCTCTATCGTAGTTCGTGGAGATCAAATGTGTTCCTGTTGTACGGTTGATGGATTATCCAGCTTTTCCAGGATTGGCCTAGTGTAAGTCATCGTGCATACTAAGTGTTCGATGAAATGCATCTAAGAGACTCTAAAATATTTTCTGAAGAAACCGATTTCCTAAAACTCGTTACTGATTACGTGGCAAAAAATCCCGTTTGGCATGCCATATCACCTGCCACGTAAGACATAAAATCATATTATTATAATCAGTTTTTCCGAAGGACTAATATGACATTTTTTTAACAAGATTAGGATTTAATGAGACACTTTTTGTAAGTTTAGGAATTATTTGTCACACTCGCAAGTTCATGATTTTTTTTTCTCACAATTTGCAAGTTAGACATTTTTAGGGGTTTTTCTCTATTATTTATATTGCATTTAAAACAAATAATTATTTTATAAATTAATATTAATTATTTTTGTATTATTTAATCTAAGTTTTTAGTGGTAGATTTTGTAAAGTGATCAAGATAATGTTTGTATACAATATGTCTTTATGGTGAGATTTTTTCTCGTGCCTAATCAAAGTTCTAAACTAATCCATTTCCCATGAAATTTTTCAGTGAATAACAATTGAACAATACCAATATATATAAAATCTCCATCGTCGAATTAAATAAATCAATTTTCACCTTTGAATATACTATAAAAATTGAATGGGATGATTTTTATTTTGGTTTTTTGGTTTTAGTTTTTTTTTTAATTTTAGTTTGTAGTTTAAATTTTTTATTTTTTGGATTTTATAAAAATATAGTTTTTGATTTTTCATTGATTTTTGTTGGAGGAAAATCGAAAATGAATAAACAAACTACATATGTACCCGATACGATGATAAGTCTTTAACCGTGTATCTTACATGAATATGAAATCTGGATATGACTTTGACCCTGTAACACTTATGAATAATAAAGAATCCCGATATAACTTCAAAACGTGTAATCACTGTTCTAAAAATGTTATTCCATCCTATTAGGTAAATGAGATTATAAGAATACATTTTTGAGATACAATAAAGTTTCAATAATTTCGATTTACCCTTTCGAGAATCATCATACAAAAACTTGTTTATGAAAATGAACACAACACTTTTGATTGAGTTTACAAGAACAATAAAAAGGAATACTCAAAATCACCCAAAATCACTCAAAGAATAAATCTCTATCCGTACATAACTTATTCTAACATTTTTAGTTTATAAACACTAAAAAATCTATATATATAAATAATTGTGTTTAAAGGATTGTGGTGAAGACACCTAAGCATCCACATCATCATCTATGTGACACTTTTTTGTTTTTATTGGTCATTTATATATATAAATAATGGTATTTAAAGGATTGTGGTGAACACACCTAAGCATCCACCTCATCATCTACGTGACACTTTTTTGTTTTTATTGATAATTTAATTAATTAAAACATATTTTTTTTAATAAATACAATGTGACATATAATACAAAAATGAGTAATCAGATTATATGGTGATTTAAAAAATTCTTATTGGTCATTTAAAATAATCATTAATCATTATTATGTTAATTTTTATTAGATTATCACCAATTTTAAAGAGGTGAAATGTGAAATATGTGGATATTTTTTTAGATATGTAAAACATGAAAAATAACAATAGATTATATTTATATATAAATAAAGAGTTGAAACGTGAATAAATATTTAAATAAAAAATGATTCAATTTATTGTATTAAAAATCTATTTTCATTTTAGTTTAATATATTATTGAGATATTTAATTGATTACACTTATATTTAAAATTTATTTGAGGTCATGATATAAAAAACAAATGCCAATAAATTATTATAATTATAAAAACAAAATGTTCTTAAACACATTAAGGGAACGGTTACAAAAATAAAAAGTTGCTTGCTATTCTATCAATGAAGAAGAGCATGTTTCATTATAATGAGAGTAAATGGATAAATAAATGATATTTAGTGGAATAAACATTTAAAAAGAAAATTAAAGCAAAATAACCTATTGTGACTAAGATGCTAAAGCGTCATCGAAACATGTGGCAATTTTTTTAAATTTTTATCGAATTCTTATCATCTTTCACAATCAAAATTATAATTATTATTATAATTAATTTAACACATTTATATATAATAATTTTAACACTAATTTTTACATATAAAAAAGGTGAACTAATTTTTACATATAAAAAATAGGTGACAAATATAATAATTGAAAATATCAATAGATTATTATAATTAAAAAGACAAAACGTTAACTTTTAACATATAAAATTTTATTTTGATCTTAGTTTTTTTTTTATTTTCTTATATTTATATTTAAAATCTATTTTAAAACCTTGATACAAAAAAAAATGTAAGTAGATTATTATAAAAAAAAATAAAAAAGTTTATCTATTTTATATAAAACAAAAGAAACGTTCTCTTTGATGATAGTTTTCTCAATTGTCATTGGTTTTTGTAAACCTCTTATTAGCTGAAAATTGTCTATAAATTATTATATTTAAAATATGAAATAAAATTATACTAAAATTTATTGTTGTTAAAAGTATTCACTAATTCAATGATAAAAAAACGGGAGAATAGTCTACGATTATTTTGGAGTAAATAAAATTTATTGTGGATTACTTAATGGAGTTAAAAATTTATAAAAAATCGGTCAAGACCGTTCTTTTATTTGCTCAATAATAAAAAAAACGTGATCAGAAGTATTCATTAGCCACTATTAGGTGTCTGTAACGGCACCAGAATGTTCTCTCAAAGGTCAAAACTTTCCGTATAAATAAAGCGATTTCACTCTCTCGATCGACAAATCTTCATCTAGATGTTCAATAAAATCAAACGAAGTGACCCGACAACAATTTGATTCCACGTCGATCTCGGTTTCTTTGACCAATCCCCAGGAAAACCCTCCAAAACCTCTCGCTCTCAGCCGATCCGTCGGTGAATCAACAAACCCACTCGGCCGTGATGCCCACGCACCGCCGCTCATCGTGGGGGGGAGGGTGACATCTGCAGATATTGAGAGACTGTCCAAAGAAGGAAGACAATCTCAGTGAGGAGAGGACAGACCTTCGCCGTCGGAAAAAGGCGCAAACCAGGCAGCGTTCGGGCCGAAGTTACGGTATCCGACATTCGTCGTTGGCCGTCTCAGAGTCGACGCGCACGAGAAGCTGATCGAGGAGGCTCTTCGCACCGGAGGGGTCGACAGGGCACGCGGTGTTGATGCTGCAGCCGGACGGACAGTACTCGATCATCATTGTCGACAGGGCAAACATGAGTTCGTGGACAGAGAATCTGAGTAATGATGATCTCGAGGTCGTGAGGAATGTTGGGTTGTTCTTCTGCAGAGAGAAATCCCTGATTTTGCGCATTCACACATATACACAGATAAAATGCAAATGTCTGATTTATTTTTTTAACAATATAGACAATATAGAAATATCATTGCCCATGTCGGGGATTTCGGATTATCGAGGTTTCTGTACAAAATCGACCAATCGGAAGAAAGCAACACCATAGGAGTCCAAGGCTCCATAGGTTACATTGCTCTAGGGATGATCCATATGATTCTTCTATTACATTTTCTGTGTTATCTTGCTTCGCAAGTTATCATTTTAATCCGATGATTTCATTACAGAGTATGCATTTGGAGGGAAACCCGACACAAGAGGAGATGTCTATAGTTTCGGATTCTGGTTTTAGAGATTTTTATCGGGAAAAAATCCACTTACGAGATGTTTAAAGAAGAGCTCAACATGAACAAGTTTGCGCTAACCTAAAACAGAAACACTGAAAACGTCACTGAGATCGCAAGCCAGAGACTCTTCATGAACAACAGCGATGAGCGCTCAGGCACGTTGAGCGGCAGAAGCTCGAGCAACGAAAGCTCGAGCAGCAACAGTGATTGGGGATGCAGTAAGAGCGAAGAATGAATGATATATGTGTATGAATGTGTTATATACATATTATTTTTTTAAATACTAATGTAATGATATTTTTATGAAAATTGACATTGGCATCTAAATTTTGGTGAGACAACTCAATTTTCATCATGGATTACAATACTTAAATAGTTATAGAGATAATGTCATTAGATTATGATATGATGATAAACTAAATGATTAGATTTTAAAATGGAGTAAGAGAAAATAAAGTGGTGGGAGAATTTTTGACAAATTTAATCATTCAAATCATAAATTTATTATTATTGTTTTTAAAAAATGAATGAAATTTTTAAATGTAATAAAATTTAAATTTAAGTTGAATAGTTCAAAAAAAAATGAATATCTACTGATAACGTCATTAGATTATGATATGATGATAAACTAAATGATTAGATTTTAAAATGGAGTAAGAGAAAATAAAGTGGTGGGAGAATTTTTGACAAATTTAATCATTCAAATCATAAATTTATTATTATTGTTTTTAAAAAATGAATGAAAATTTTAAATGTAATAAAATTTAAATTTAAGTTGAATAGTTTTAAAAAAATGAATATCTACTAATTTTATGAAAATAAAAGGTGATACAAATTTGTTATATAACAATATATAAAAAAACATAAAATATATTATAGACAAAAACAAATCTTCAATGAACTACCAAAGTATGAGTACAAATAAAAAAAACTGATATTCAATTCATTTTCTACAAAATATATTAAAAATAATTTATGTAATAAAAAAGAATAATAACATTTCTTTTATCTTTTTTTACCATTTTTCTTAATTATTTTTCATTTACAAACTTTTAATTGTATCCCTTTTATAGATAAATAGGTCATCATCAATTCATTCATAATCAACTATAAAAAATTAGAACGACAAGATTAAATATATATATATATATATATAAGAGTTTTGATTTTTATTTTAACCAATTGGCGTTATTGTTTATTCATTTTGAAATTGTATTGCCCCATCTTTTTAACAAGTCCAAAATATGTATATATGTACATTGGTTTACTTAGTTTATTGTTTATTTTAATATTTTTTTATTAATTTATTGATTTATTTTTATTTATTTATATTTGATCTTATATTGCAGTAACATGGAGAAAAAATCATGTCACATAGTACTAATTTATGTTTGTTTTATTTAATTTTGTGTTTGATTGGATAGAAAAACCAATAGAAAAATTTTACAAAAGAAATTTTGCAAATATGTCTCAAATAAAGATAAAATCTCAACCAGTAATATATCAAATTTTCATATCAATCACTCAATATAAAAAAAACTGATTTGGATGGTATAGTCATTTTTTGAGTGTTTGTATAGTTTGTCCCATGGAAAAAAAATATTATTGTTGAAAAAGTTGATATCATAGTCATAGTATTACGAAAGAGAAATTTCACATAAATTTATACCATAATTTGCTAGCTTTGGCAAACCAAAATTAAACATATATCAATCTTACCAAATTACAAAAGAAAAAATTAAAAAATATAAACAAAGATTTTATAACTAATACATTTTTTAAATTGCAAATATATTATTGTAGTTTTGATCGTGTAGAACGATCGAATTTACGAATAGTATCATCAACTTTGAAAATTATTTTCCTTTTATTATTACAAGAGTAAGCTCCCAATATTTTAATTAAGTGACAATTAATATATTTTTAAAAATAAAATAATATTTATTTCTGATAATCTAACACATAATTTTGATATAAAAAAACCTAGCAATATCGTAAATATTCCCGTATGGAATGATCTTGCATAAAAAATTCGTTCATAAATAGATAGATTGAATGTCAGAAGAATTATTATAAGCGTGTGTAAATCTAAAGTTTAGCGACAGTAATTATTAAGTTATATATGAATCTCTAGATTATTTAATAGATTCATATATAAAATATATCATTATTATATTATATTTATTAACATGAGTTAGTAATTATGTGGTTCAATACAAAATTATTTACAAAGATTTATAAAGATGTACAATTTTATATTATTAAAAAGTTAAACGCCATGTATATAAATTTAATCAGTTTTAAAATAAAATGAAACTGTAATATTTAATATTTAAGAGGGGAGACAGATTCACTTGGTGATAATATATTTCAATTACGTTTTAATTTTTTATATATACATTACTATTTAACCGATATTTTTTAAAACCCCAAATATTTAAAAATATCATTTATCTTTTTATTTTATAATTAAATTTTAAGCAAAGATTGAATAAGATAATAACGGGTATTAAGTACAACCAAAATAAATTATTAATATGCAATGTATGTGGAATAACTATTATATTCTTTCACTATTTTAATTCCTTATATAAATAATAGTGATAATTTTATAATAATTATCAAACAAATAATATATAACATTTTTGTAAAACAAAGAATTTTACATATATATTTTTTCTATATCAAACATATAATATATATTATTTTTATAATATTTATATCAATTTTTTTAACAAAAAGTATAATAAAAAACAGAACAATCCGCGCAAACGCACGGATCTTCACCTAGTATCTTCAAAAGTTTTAAAAATCTGACAGTTTTTATGCGAAAAATTGTAACTTACACGGGTCGAGTTATAGTTGACTCGGATAGGTTACATATGACACGAGTGAGTTATACATGATACGGTAGAGTTACACCTGACTTGGATCGTGTCAAATTTTTGTACAAAACGAGTTTTCTCTAGAAAAATAACACGGTCCGTGTCAAATCCGACACGGTCCATGCCAAGTTTCTGTATCAAAAACTCCGTTTTAATTAGAATGCTTGTTTGGATTGAATCATACTTCACTCGAGTGAAGTATACCTCACTCAAACCGAACCAGTTCACTGTCAACAATAAACATATATTTTTTCGATCCATATCATATCATGACAATAAACATATATTTTTTCGATCCATATCATATCATTCATGAATATATAACTTCTCCACCATATTTATAATATATATAACTATGGATTATTTTGATCAACCGTTTACTCTAAAATACCAACAATTTTTTATCAAAATGTTTTTCAAATTTAAAAAAAAAATTAATTTTATAAAACTTGAATGGTAATTTTTTTGATTTTTTATTTTAAAAACTAAAAATTCTAATCAACTGCTTAGGAAGCTACGCGATCTCGACCGTCGACCACATTCAGCCGATCTGAATTGTTGTATCTTTAGATCTCATAGGTATTATGTACAATGGATCGATCAATGAAAGAGAGTTGAACTGTACGATTACGTACACATCAATCCAAAACGTTAATACTGAGAGTAATATCGACCGTTGATATGCCAAATCGATCTGAACCGTTGAATATACAAGAAGAATCTTCGACCAAAAAGATCTTGACCGGACGTTGCACAATATGCGATCTCACTAAATGGATAATGAGGCCAAGTTCGGCTTCTTCGAACAAGAGCCGAGCCCAAATGTCAATTACCGACAGTGTGGAACGATTCCCATTTCGAGAACAATATATATTTTTTGTGTTTTAAATATTATAAAACGGGTCCCATGTTCGGGCTCGCTTTGCGTTTTTTGTTATGTTTTGAGGGGATTTTGTACAATAAAAATAATGACAAAAACATGGAAAAAAAGGATTAATGCGGAGGAAACATAGTCGCCGTTGGCCCGAGAGACTCGCGTGCTGGTGCTCTGAGGTACCGATCGTGAATCGCCATTCGTTGCGGTCGTAGCAAGCTCCCCGACACGTGTTCCTCTGATCCAAACCCCCTTTTGTCCTCTGAAAGAAAACCTTTTTTTTTTTTCCTAATTCTGATAGACACTAGTCAGTCCAGTGGACAAGACACAGAGAGCATTACAGGGGAAGGAGAAAAGTGTTCTCTTTTCTTGCCTGTCGCCGGTTTCGGGATCTTGGGAAGGTGGGTTTTTCCTGCAGATTCATGATTAATTTAGGGCATTTGCTGGAAAAACAAACTGGGTTACTTTCATCTCGGTAGAGGGTTTGTTGCTGAATCGGTCTCCGGCGACCGCAGAAGAGATTCCGGCGAGGGGGAATGGACGAAGAAGGAGCTTGTGATGAGATTTCTTTTGAGCGGAGGGAGGAATTCAGGGTGAGGAAGAATGGGAGAAAGGACAAGGTGATTCTCTGTTAAACCCTATCCTGAGTGAGTTGCATTTGGGAGATTGGTTCTTGTTTCTGCATGGTTTATTTTGGGTTTCAAGTGGTACAGATTCTTCTGTGGTTAGCAAATTGACGGTAAAAATATGGTTTATATCCCCGTGCAAGTGCTGTGCTAAGTTCTGATGAACGACCCTTCTATTCTGTGGAAGTTTGTATCGTTTTCTCTTGACCGAGTTTGCTGAAAAAGGAGGAATGGAATTTTGCGCTCCGAGCGTCATTTGGTTATGCATGTGTTGCTTACAAAGATCGTTTGATAATCTTAAGTACTGGAGTCGTTTTCATGGCTAAACGCCTGGAGTTTCAGGCACCGGATCAAAAGAAAAGAGGTTTTGAGAGTTAACTTTCGCTCAAGGATTGTCGATTACTGTCTAAAAAAACGAGAATTTAAGGGCTCTCAATTCTGATTCTGGATGATTGTTTATCTATCATTGAGATGGTGAGGTTCATGATTTTGATGATTGCTTGATCTAGCATTTATCCGAGTTGACTGTAACTATTAAGCTTCAAGAATTCTGAAACGTCCTTTGACTCACTGAAGATGCTCATTTCTATAAATGGCAAGCGTTTGCATGTGTTTCAAGGGTTTCTTTTATTGGTAATTGATGAAAGTCTCGTCCTTTCTAATGCGGAGACGTTCTTATTGAGGGATGTCTTATGTCCACATTCCCACTGAACATTGATAAGCATTGAATCTCTAGGAATGTTTTCTGCTGTTTATATGTTGAGGAGGAACGTTTTTTTTTTTAATTCTTCACCATCTTCCAGATTTCTACTGCTTTGGAAGAATATAAAGTTGATCTTTAAGTGATTTAGGTCATAATTGAGAGGTCTGCAGCTGAAGGCTTACCTGAAGGATGGATCAAAGAGCTCATGATAAGGAGGAAGGCTCGGAAATTAAGAAAAGATCCAGTTCGTACCCTCTACTCTTTTACCCGCTTTGGAAATTCCGTCTTTCTGGGTTTTCCTCACGGTCTCCTGTGATTTTGTTCTTCGTCATTTTGGAAAATCTTACACTATGAATGTATGATGTTCTACAGCTGTTCATCGATCCTAAAAGCGGATACATCTTCCTCTCCTTTAAGGATGCATCGCGCTATGTTAGGACCGGCGTGATTGGAAATCATGCACGTAAACCGAAGGAAAACAGTCACAGCGATGATGATTCTGGAAACGGAAAGATCCTTGTGTGTATCTATTTCCCCTTTGTTATTGTCAACTTTTTCCAATATAGAAGGAAATCTCTGTCTGAACGTTTTTTGTTTTTCTGACCTGTTGGGTTGTGTTCCTTTCCTTTCCTTTCCTATGGTACTGTGTCAGTCCCTTTCAGTATCCACTGGAGACGGATCTCCAGGAAATTCGCCGGAGGAGAAGAAGATAAATATTTATGTCAGAAACAGTAAACGAAAAAGCATATCTTCCGTGGATGAACATCCCGATAATTGTAAGTATGATATGTTTTGGTCAAGCTTGTCCTGTTTCTGTAATATCTGTTGCAACTATGACAAACTTCAACCCTGCTTATATTTTCAGGTAAGACGATTTCCAAACTAAGCACTACAAGTTCTCGTGTCCTACAAGAGAACGCGATGGAAAAGGAACAGAAACAAGATCCTACCGGAAGAGAACTTATTCCTTGTAATGAAAACGATACCACTATCCGAATAGTCGAGCGTGTAGGAAAACGGGTTACTAGAAGCCAAGCTAAAATGAAGAAGAACGAAGACAGACACGAGTTAGGAGGAAAAAGCCCTTCTTCACTGAATTTAAAATCAGAAGATTGTAAGCAAACACCTCGATTCCTAGTCCTGGTATAATATACGGGTTGAATTGAGTAATGCCAAATATTCACGCCATCTATCTTTCCAGGTAATGTTAGCTCCAAGCTAAAACGTGCAAGTGTAAGCTCGCAAACTTGGGAGGAGGGATCAGGTAAAAAGGGCAAGGCGCAAGATTCTACCGAAAGGAAGCCCATTTCTAGTAGTGAGAACACTGTTACAAATTCCCGAGTGAAACAAGCGGCAGAAAGACGGATTACTAGGAGCCAAGCTAAAGCGATGAACGATGGTAAACCCGAGTTGAAAAGGAAGACTGATCTTAATGATGGTTTACCTCAGCAAGCTTCAAAAAGACTGGAACTTGAACCAATTTCAGAACCGAAAACTAGAACCAGGGCTGTGCAAGCGCTTGCGGTTGAGCAATCTGATGATGAAAGAGCCGGGCAGTGCAAGGAGCTCGTGTTAGGGGGGAAACCTGCTCTTGACAGTTGTGAAATGATAGTAATGCCCCTCAGCCAAGCGGTAACTGAGAAGAACGAGGGACATTCCTCCTCACTAAAGCAGAGTTCTACTTTAACGCCTCTTGTGTCAGAAAGGAATAATCAGGAGATAGACAAAAAACTCGAGGGACATTCTGCGAAAAACCCGAATGTTGCCTATGACAGGAAGAATAAGGAGATGGGATCTCCTCGGGTATCAACTCGTGGACGTCAAGCTGCTACTGCCAAGTTTGAGGAAGCAAGGAATGGAAAATGTGAGGGAGCATCAAAATCGGTTGCTCCTGCCGACATTTACAAGCAAGCGAGGGAAATTCCGCCGAGTGACGGGACAACAACAATGTGCAGAAGATCGGGTCGTTTTTCGCAGTCCAAACCGAATACTGCGCCTAACAGTCAGAGAAGGAATGTGATCCCACTGACATGGAATCAATCGGAGCATCCTTCTAAGGCCGAAGATAATATTAACCTTGCTTCTGTTTTGGCCTTGACCGAGAAGAATGCCAACTTCGTCTCTGAACCACTTTCGCTTGACTCGACTCTCGCCGACTTGTGGAAAGATCCTTGTATCGCCTTTGCCATTAAAACCCTAACTGGAGAATCACTGGACCTTCCCAACACGGCAAAAGTCTTAACTGAGACCAAGACGGGTAATGCAGTGGACAATCATGACGAACAGAGAGGAGTCACTTTCTTCCCCGGGATTCCCAAAAGCAGTAACATGAGCAACCAGAGACCCGGGTGCTCTACTGAATTACCCGTTGCAGACATTTGGAAAGACCCGTGCATTGATTTCGCCATAAAGACCCTAACGGGAGCCATACCGATCGGGTTTGATGAACATGAGGGCAAGCCGGAATCCACGCTCCCGACAACGCAAGCTCCCAAGGAGAGGCAAAGTGACTGTGTCCATTCCCGTCAGCAGCATAACTCGAAGCAGAAGGCTGTGTCGGGTGGAGCTTGTTTCCTCCCTCAGCAGGTGGATAAGTCTACAGACCTAAGGTTTTCCCCTTCCTTCTCCAATGGATATAACTAAAGCCATTAGGGTTTTTCAAATGGCATGGTTTTAAAGCACCATGCTTGGTTAACTTTTCTCAATGTGTTTGTAAATCAATGTGTTAGGTTGTGTAAACATGAACTGAACTCCTAACCCTGTTGACCTTCTCCTGTGTTCTTGTCATAAATGGATGCTTTTCCCGGTTTCTGGTTCGGTTTGAAGTAAACCGGGCGTGATAAATACTGGGTATGCTTTTCCTGGTTTCTTGGGTTCAAATGGAATTTACACTCAAAGCTGCTCGCTTTTTCGAAACAAAATTTGGTACCAAGGCTTGGATGAGCACCAAAGTTAAGAACTTTGGATGATTTCTGGTAGAATTTTAGCTTAAGATGGATGTCAATCATTATGGGTAGTTCCATGTTCTTTGCTTCATCAGTCTGCAAGAAAAAGGATAGTGAACCGACCATACATGAATGCAACTATGAAGTTTTTGTCACAAAAGGGAACTATTTATTCTTCTCTTGATATGCCATGGAACCTGAAACTTCGTTTTATATCAATGTTTTGCAGTACGCAGTACAAAAGGGAACTATATCGAATCATATTATCTCAATCGAACCATTGAACTTCAATGCTGAGTAAGGAATAATTAAATAAGGTAGCTAGAAGAATCCTACTCATGTGATATTGGCCAAAATGATTTCAGCAAGACCCTGGTTTATTATCTACACAAGCTTTCCATATTCGCAGGGCAAAAAGAAAAGGGTTGGCTTCTTCTTTGTGTCTAGGAAGTTGGCACAATGCCTGCTCGAGCTCTTAATGCTTCGGTTCTTTTGCTTTTCTCCATCACCCCCACCAGCCATTCTATACTTTCTTTGATTCCTCTCCTGCAAATTCAACATTTCGCTGTGATCGCATGTGTGAGTGCAGAATTATGATTAGGTTCTCTTCCCTTACCCATCAAACCCTGAAACAGCTTCAAACATGTAAACCCTTTCATCCAATTTCTTTAGATCCAAGTAACGATCGAGCTCCTCAGCAGACACAGCACTAGGGAGATCCTGCATGGCATTCCCGGATCCAGGAACATCAGTGTCTTACCGAGGAAAATTAAGTTTAAAGACGAGTCAAAGGCAATGCATTTTCCTACTTGCTTGTTTGCCATTATCAAAAGAGGGGCTCCTCGCAAATCCTCATGTCGCAGGGCTTTCTCTGGTGAGGACAATTTATATCTTAGCATTAGTTCTTATAACTGAAACGTGGAGTTGGGCTATATAATTCACACTTACCTAGAGCAGATTTTGAATCTTCAAAACGGGACGGGCAAGCAGCGTCAATTAAATATATCAATGCATGCGCTTCTTCATAATACTTCTCCCATATCGACCGTAATCCAGGCTGCAATAAGAAAAACATTGCATTTAACTTGAAACTAGACAAGGCTCACTCATTGCTTCTCAAAGATACCAAAGGTTGAACATCGAAACGAATATCATGTTGAACGCTTATGTTGGAGCAGGCACATAAAATAACGCAAAGCACAGAGGGAAGTGTGTGAATTCAGAGAATGGTTGATCTTTGTTAATCTAATCCTATAAGCCTTGTTAAAAAAGAATGCCCTTGAAGGATAATGCCGGGCATCAGTCATGGTTAAAAGGGAACAAAACATTTGATAAAGATATCCCGAAGATGCAATCTGTATGGCAAAGTACGACCATCCAATTATGCAGATACTCCAAAGATGGAAGGCGCAAAGAATCTGATAGAAACCCCGGAGGTCTATCAGAATCTTCATAAGGATATTCAGCTTACCTGACCTCCAAGGTCCCAGAACACGATTTTCGTATTGGAGATTTCAATGCGACCGATATTCAGCCCCACAGTAGGAACAATCCTATCGGGAGGAAGACCTTCTGAGATGGAGTATATCGACTTCAGTTTCTCCAAAAACGTCTAAGCATCGAAGACGAACAATGCATTAGAGATGATTCTCAACATAAATGACTAATTTCGAGAAAGCCTCTAACAGAATCGGTAACTTACCCCACAAGATTATGATAAAACTATAAATCAGGATCAGAAGAAGGTTCATTACCGTCTTGCCAGCCTTGTCGATACCAAGAATGAGTACATGGAACTCAGTCTTGCTGAACATGTACTTCCACATTCCATAAATAAGAGAAAACATCACTCCCTCCTACTTTTTACTTGTTTCCTAGTTCTGTCTCCTCCCAATTTCGCAATTAGAAAGAAGATGGTTCAGTGAACTCTTGAGAATCCTAGAGGATAAATGGATCATCAAGGTCAGAACCAGTTACAGCTTCTGGGTTATAGTGTCAATGAATCAGCAACGTAACTCGAAATCACAAAGGCCCCCATCTTAAACCTTTTCCAGATCCAGACTATATTCGAAAAGAAAATCTACACAATTTCTCTCACAAAGCCCCTACGTCGAGAAATCGTTCTCTCTTCCACTAACCATCACGATCTTTTCAAATGCATATCATCGAAAACCCAAATTCAAGAAACAATAAATCCAGCAACAGATTCCGATACTGACTTCAGAGATTGAAATCGAATTCAGACACCGGAACAACCACAACTAGATCTGCGAAATGGGTGACGGATGAAAGATGAAATCACGAATCGAGTTAGACACAAGATCAATTCAAGAGTCGAGAATTTCTCATCCCTCAAACGGAAAAAAGCTACGAGAGAAATACTTCAAAACTCCTTACTGTACAGAAGAAGCTTGATGAGCTCGAGACGAAATCCTTCCGCTTTACGTCCTTCTTCTTCTGTCTCCGATTCGATCGTCCCTCCATTTGCTCCCTCGAGCGAGGGTAGACATAAAAATACCGAATTCCAAAACTACCCCCACTCGGCGCCTGACACACGATGTCACCACGTCGACAAGATGAATCCAACGGTTAATAATGTACCACGTGGTGGAATTCAATGCTTTTGGTCAAAGTCAAATACATGAACGGCTAGATCCCCTCGCTTACTCTGAACCGTATGGATTCTTTACGCGGGCGGGGTGGAGGATAAATACGAAATTTTACATCTCCAGAAAAATTTCCACTAGGGAAATGCAGGTCTAGAAACTCGAAATCGGGAAAAGTCGCTGGGGACAAGAAGACGATCGATCCCTATAGGTACAGGAAAATCTCTCCCCCTTTTCGTTTTCGATCTTCTTCTATTCAAAAGCAATTTGATTGTGTTGAGAATCTTCGATAGAAATTGGCGACAATTGATGTTTTAGGCTGCGTTTTTGTGTTTCGCTGATTCCGATTCGGTTTCTCTGCATCCAAACAGTACGGCTAGGGTTCTTGGGAGACGTTTTTGCTGCTTTGGTTTCTTGGAATCCGGGTTAATCTCTTTGTATGTTAATCTTGGGAGCCCGTTGAAGCATAATATAGATTCGTTGAGCGTGCTTGTGATGATGTCGAGTTGCACTCCTCTATTCAAGCTTTTAGACCTGGCTGTTGAGCCTTTTGCTTCGATTCATTTTGTTTCAATCCTCAATCTATACAGATTTGACTGTTTACAAGTTTTTTGCAATGCATTTGATTGATACAATGGGATTTCGTGCTTAGTTAATTTTGTTGTTTGTTTCTCTGGAATATGATTCAGTGATCCTAACAGAGAAACTATCTCTGCGTTTGGTGGCTTTTTGCTGTTGTTTAGTCTCCAAAATTTACGATTCCAGTTGTTACTTGTATTGCAATGTGTGCTTCTCTGAGAAAATAACTGTTAAATTTTGAAGTTGTAATCAGGTGAACTGGGTCATTTTGACTTGCTCATCCTGGTCGAGACGAGCGGTT